TTTGCCATTTTGATTTGCTTATTTTCTTTACTCTTTTCAAATTTCTGCTAAAGGATTTATGCAGAATATCTGAAACAGTATGGAGATATAAAAATGATAAAAATTCTAAGTAGTGGTTTTGCAATGACATGGATACTTTAAGCTGTTAAGTTTCTAAGTAAATTTAAATTGATAAGATTTTTAATCCTAAGAGATATACTAAATTACTTCGTATTATTAAAACTTATTTCTGAACATATTTTTATAATACTAAGGAGCTAGTGAGTTTAAAAATACTATAATGAGTTCCTTTATTCACACATCAAATATTCAGTAAATATTTCATGAATACTATGTGGCAAGCACTGTTCTAGGCACTATGGATTTGGGAATAACCAAAACAGACAAAAATGTCTGCCTATATGGGGGTTACATTCTAGAGGAGGTAAGATGGGCAACAAACAAAATAAGTAAAATACATATTCAGTTAGACAATGATAAATCCATTTTTTCATTTACCTATTCAACTAATGCTTAATGATTACTTGATTCATTCTAGGCACCAAGTCTGGTCTAACTCAATGTTGAACAAAAAGGACTTAGTTGTAACCTTGTAAAGGACTGGGGCTGGGGTGAGAGTTCTGAGAAACATCGGGGGAGAAGACAAACATTAAGCAATGCCTTGCAATATCAAAAAGAAATTCTTATTTATAAAATCTTTTGAAGTAATATAAAACTATAGTTGTCACCAGCAAGAAGATCAGGAGTAATATAGGTAGAAAAGCAAACTGGCCCTACTTCTCATGCATTTCTTACAGGGTGGGGTTATGAACTGACATTTCTTTTACCAAGTGATTTTAAAAGCAAATGCTGTAAACTGCGTTTGCCCCATTCAGTTGTTTATTCATTCAACAAATCTCTAACTTCAAATATTAGGCATTGTACTGGATGCTACAAATAACAATGGTGAGTAAAATAAACACAATCCCCACTTTCATGGACCTTACAGTTAGGTAGCAGAGGCAGATGTTAAGACAAATAAGCAGAGAAATAAATATTAATTACAAATTATAGTTAAGTTCTATGAAGTACAAGTACAGGTCTCAGATATATGTTTCATAGAGGCTAGAAGCACATAATTTTGACCAGGAGGTCAAAGAAGGCCTCTCTAAGAGAGATTTCACTTAAAGGGACTTAAAGATGTCACAAGTCATAGAAGTAAATAACTGGAGGGAAATAAAAGGAATTCTGGGGTATACCTGAAAGAGTATCACCTGGAGGAGGGAAGGAATTGTGGTTGGATAAATAGAATAAGAAGGCCGTAAAGCAACAATTGCTGATGGTGAGTGAGAAGTACAACAAAATTCATCATATTATTCTATTCTCATATATGCTTAAACTCTTCTTTAAAAAAAAAAAATTGTTTAACAAAATACAGAACTGTAGGCAAGACTGTCCCTGGCTAAGGTCACGAATGAGGGCCCTGAGAGGACACAGCCACTGGGGAGCTCTCAGGCCTGGGTAACCGGGACAGCTCTCAATGCGTGGTCCCCAGACCCGCAGCGCCAAGTGCTTGGGAGAAGTGCAAATATCAAACCCCACTCCAGACCTACTCAATCAGAAACTCTGGGAATGGGAGCCAGAAATCTGTATTTTAAAAAGCAATACTGTTAAAGGTTGTGATGAAGCTCATGCCTGAGAACTCCTGAGGCTCCACATAGAGTACAGTGAAACAGGAACCCGTGGTTCACAATGGCACTAGAGAGATAATGGAGGCCAGTCATCTAAAATGTGACAGGCTATGTTATAAATTTTGGCTTTTATCTTAACTGGTTGGGAGGACCATTAAAGAGCTTTAAACAAGGGAGTGATCAGCGTTCCATTTTTAAAGGTTACCTTGTCCATGGTTTAAGTAACTTTTACCTCGGTCAAGCGTAGAGGCAGGGAGTGACTTCATGGAAGATGGCAGGGGAGGACATGTGGTCCCTCAGCCATAACGCCGAAGTCACTGAATCCTGACCACCGCCACTTCAGCAAGCTCGGAAGCAGGCCTGCACCAGCACGGGGACTGACCCACTGGCTACCGCAGTCCTGGGAGAGGGCTACAGCCAGAGGACCCCTAAGCCACACCTGCATCCCTCACTCCCAGGATCTGCGAGATAACAATGGTTTGTTCTCAAGGGTCTGCTTGCTCGGATTAGATCATCATTGTTTCAAATTTACAATGCACCACCCAAAACTCATACCAGAAATAAAAATTTATTTTTACTCTTCATTTGTGCTCCTATTGCTTCAATTATCTTTAACGCACTATTTAGTTGCAGGAATCTTTTTTTAACCCACTTGCCATTTTGTGTTACTACACACTGAAAGGGAAAGGGAGAAAGGAGGGGTAGGTAGGAGGGAAGTGAGCAGGGAGCGAGGAAGAGAGAAAACCACTGCCAAGTTACATTTAAACACAGTATACTGACAGCGTATGGGACAGAAAGAAAAAAAAGGAGGAGGGAAAGTAATCTACAAATAATTTTGAACTATATTTTTACTAGGTTTCCCTCTCATAGTGATATGGTCCTAGCAATTCTGAAACTATTTTACATGAATTATTGGATTTAGCATATAAACAGATGTGCTGACATTGTTCAACATCAGAATTCTCACTGTGGAAAGGGTGTACAAATAGGAATTGAGAAAGGCAAGGAGGAACCCGTGAGGCTGGACTACAACTCATGATATCTAAAATGTAAATATTTCCTAATTTTGTCCACTAAAAGAATCTAGAAGCAATAAACACCAGTAATAATGTACACACCTAAAGCCCTTATTTTTGGTTTCTAAATACCATTTCTCGCTAATAATAAATCACAACTCTGAGGAAATAACTGATTTCAAGAGTGTGAACAGAGCTTCTTTCTCATAAAATAAAGGTCAGTTCCAAAAATGAGGTAAGAAAGGTACAAGATGAGCTAGACTATCTTATAGTGCTAGAAAGAAAGTAAATGCTCCAGAACCCAACAACATTCTTCTGATACTGGGGCATATCAGAAACCAGTTTGAAGGTGCTCCGCCTAACCAAATGTAGAACTATGTGAAAAATCAATTTAAGAACAGTAACAAATTCTAATTCATTGACTAAAAAGAGCTGATACTAATTATCAGGTAGGAGGAAGGCAGGCAGGGAGGGAGGGAGGTAGACAGATATCCAAATATAAATTAAAAATACATACATACGTATACACACTTTGTAATATAAAAAAATCTAAATTTTTGTTCCCAATTCCTGGCACAGGCCATAAAACTCTTAGAATTTACTGACTCATATGAGCAACTTGTTCATAACAAGTCCTTTTAAACTTTAGACTGTCCTGAATTCATGCCAACAAGGTGACAACTGGTGAACCCTCAGATACTTTCATGCATGGGAAGGGCTGGTCACCACAAACACCAAGCACACATTTATACAGAGTTGGAGATTTTAGCACTCATCCCACCTCCAGGGATGCGGAAGACTGAATTAAATCACTTGACCAATGATTTAATCAATCATACTCATGTATTGAGACCCCAAATTAAAAACTCTTACACAAGGTTAGGGAAACTTCCAGCTGAGGAAAACATCAGTCTGTTAAGAACACATGCCTTGGAGAAGGCAGGGAAGCTCTGGCACACCCCGCCCCCACCTTGCCCCATGCACTTCTTCCATTTGGCTGTTCTGGAGTTGTACCCTTTATAATAAAACTTTATAATAAAATGTAATCATAAGAACTGTTTTCCTGTATTTTGCAAGAATGACTCACAGAACTCAGGAAAAGGGGACCAGTGGGCCTGTGAGGCCAAGCCCCTAACTGCATTTGCAATACTCAAACAGTTGGCATCAAAGATGAACTGAACTGTAATAGACCCAGTTGGTATCAGAGGTGCTGCTAGACTATAAATGAGGGCAAAGGAAGGTTCTTCCTCATTACAGAATGTCAAGCGACAAACAGGGAGGAAGTGATGGATCTGAAAAATCAGAATTTTGCAACTATCACAGTAATGTCATCCAACCTCGAGGTCTATCTAACACTTTGAAGGGCTTTTTATTACCACACATCATTTTGAAATATTACCACTGGTAACTTAAACTAGTGATTGGTTCACTGAGTTATGTAGATCTTTCAAATGCTGGCACATTTCACTAAGCAGTTTTTTAAAATCACACTGCTAATATTACCACCCATCTCATTAAAAAAGTCAGTAAGCACTGAAGTATCGAGCTTATGTTACCAGATACTAGGTTCCCAAAATTCTAGTTCTACTTAAAAGACTGAATTTTATCATTGTCAACAAATATCATCAATTGTTTTTCCTTAAAAAAACATGAAGTGAGCCTGTTACTTTAAATAATGTCTGACAAATAGTCCAGTGTCTGAACATGAAATTTTGCATATTAGCTATTCTTTAAATAGAAATAATGTGCCATGAAGAGAGGCCAGTTCTGCCCACAACTCAAACAACTGCTCAAGTGCTTTACCTTAAGATAACCATTCCATAATACCTCATTAGGCAACAGAAGTGCTTTGGAGGTACTTCCTATTTCATCACACAGAATATTAAAAAGATGTGTACCCCAGGGTCAAACTTCAATAAAATTAATGATATTACTGTTTCATCATCGTAAGTGAAAGTGGCTTTAAAAAAAAAAACTGTGACTGCACGGCTGGTATGACTAGAGTTTTTGCTGCTAATGCACTTTGATTAATGCACTGCCATGACGTAAATTAACGCGTCAGCAGTTTTCCCACCACTGTTCTCACACCAAGTGTGCAAATGTAACACAGAGAGGGAGAAGCAAATAATACTGTGGTATTACAAAGAGTTTTACCTTTATAGACTTGTGAAAGGAAATGGGAACCTCCTCCCCATTAACTCTAACAGTTTTTTCAAAAACCACCCACACATGAACTGTAAAATCTGTCTCTTCATAAAGCTGTATTATCATTCAGTGTCATATAAAACATTTCTTAAAGTGCATTGCTCAATACCTGCTCCCGGGAGAGGCTTTCCAAATGTGAAGTTAGACCATTTATTTCCTTGTCTTTCTCTGCCAACTGAAGCTGAATTTAAAAAAAAAAAAAAAAGTAATTATTTTCATTATCTACTCTCTCCTTATACTTCCAGAATTTATACCATTCTATCCAAATAATTGTCATTCCCATATCCATGTGTTTTCCTTGGTTCTTATTCTTTGACATCTCTGAATGACCTGTCATTACTGACCAACGTCCCATACTCTGAAAACTTCCTACATTTTACACGAACTGCAGCAACAGTGTTGCCCTCTCATACTGTGTGTGTCTACGTCTTCGCAATTACAAATATGGGTATTCTGCTAAGCTTCTTCTTCAGCTTCTCTATGTTCTTTCTGAAAACTCCCTTTCTTCTATGCTTTCAACTATTATCCCCATAGGAATAAATCACAAGTACTAACTCATGTGCCACACTCTAGCTTTCCTAAGTTCCAAATCCGCCCTTATAATTGATGGTTACACATGTTTTCACTGCTGTCTTATTGCAAGGGCAAAATGTCCCAAACCTACTTTTTTGTTGTTGTTAACTGACATTATCAATCTCAGTAACCACTGTGATTGAGCTAGGAAATTGGGAATGCTTTTCCTTTCTCCTCCCCCCCCCCGCCCCAACACTTTGTCTCTAAGCCATTCAACAACTACCCATTGCTCACCTATTACAGCATAAGCACTATGGATACAAATACAAGAGAAACTACTCTTCAATGGGTTTTCCCATAACAATGTCTTTCAAAGGTTTCCTTGATAAACTGGTGTCCTATGCAATGGCAGGTGATCAGTGAAGGTACCCTAGGAGGTTGCCTTTATCAATTCATCCTAAGACTATTTCTACCTCATTTTCTTACCTTTAAAAATCCTTCCCACCTATAAATCCTCTCTGTAATACCAAATTATTTTCAAGACCCACTCTAGTTGGGTCTGTTTTCTCCTAGAAAACTCTGAGCAGAAAATGTCACCCAAATTCAGTTTCAACCCGTCTTTCAAGACTCATCTACTCCACCACATACATGAAAACCGTAGTACACAAGATTGCAAACAGTTCCCAGACTACGCCCTATGCTCTTGACCTCCAAATTTGTACTAATGCTTCTCCACTGCCTTAGAGCACTGCTGGATTCTCTTCCTTGCTCTGCTTCTCCTCCCCTCTAGATGAGTCTTTCAAAGGTCTAGTTTCTCCAAATGTCTAACTCTTCAATATTCAATTGGAAACAGTCTTAAAGTACTCAGACTAGTTTGCCTTGTCTGGTATGAGGGTTTGTATCTAAACAGGGAAAATGAAGGGAGAGGGTACTAAACAAAAAGCCATGCACCTTTACAAGCTGTGTAATCTTAAATATGTCCCTTAATCTCAATGTTCACTTTTATTATTAATGAAATAAAAATATTACTTAGAGTCCCACTGGGTTTCACAGATGATTACCTAGATTGTGAATGTAAAAGAGTTGTATCACCATTACACTTTTAACATTCCCTACTAGATCATAAACTCCTGAAGCACAGCATTGTAGCTTACTTACATGCATGATCACCCATATAATAGCTAACATAGTCCTTCATATATACAAGGTCTGTGCAGAAAAAGTCCAGTCATTGTTAACAAAATGAGAACAGTTTGCATGACATCGATGTAACCTGGCAGCCAAGGAGAGTGGACTGGAATGAACACATGTGAACGACGACAACTTCACTGTACTAGTAGTCAGTGGGAGCGGTAGACACCCTTGAGTGAGCAGGTGTACTACGTGCCCCTAGCATTCAAAATGAGCGAGTAACGAATCTGCATCAACTTTTTCCTTAAGCATGAACATTCCTTCATGGAAACTATTCTGATGAATCAGAATGCCACAACTATGGGCAACTGGTGATTAGCAGCTTCATCACGACAACACACCCATTCACGGATCATGTCTCATGCAGAGACTTTTTTAATGAAACATTAAATCACCCAAGTGGATGAGCTTCCCCCACAGCCCAGATCTGGTGCCCTGCAACTTCTGGCTTTTCCCAAAACTAAAACCACCTTTGAAAGGGAACAGATTTCAGACCATCAATGACATTCAGGAAAATACGATGGGGCAGCTGCAAGAACTGTGTGAGGTCCCAACATGCCTACTTTGAAGGGGACTGAGGCATCATTGTCCTGTGTACAATGTTTCTTGTATCTTTTTCAATAAATGCCTCCTTCATAGTACATGGCTGGATACTTTCTAGACAGACCTCGTATAACGGGCTTCATTAAGTATTTACTAAGTCATTTTTTGTCAATCTTCAAAAATAAAACTTCATATATATTCCGTATTCAGCTTTATAAATAAGTTGCTAACAATTGAAAACAATTATCTACAAGGATATAATAAACAGTAATACCATGAAATAAATGTTTCAAGATTCTATTCTGACAGTAGAAGATAATGAAAGAACGACCAGTAAAGTCACCTTAGCCTATAATGTGCCACCCTCTCCAGCCTCCATGAGGGAACCTAAAGTAATTCTTGGTGTCTTGAAGAGTTACATTTAAAAATTAGGTACAGTTAGTTATGACTTAGCAAAGTTAAATAATTTAGAACTTCTTGTTCTTTATTCACACACAAAAAATATTCCAAATTTTACATAGATATATATATCTATATATATCTCTCTTAGAATACTAAGATTACACTTTATTCCCTAGAGGGAAAAATCCCATTTTCCTTATTAGCTAGATAGCCTAATATTTTTCCTCTAACATTCTTTATAAATATCATTTATCATTCAGACTTGTTTACTGGATTATGTTACACTGGCAAAAATGTATTCTGCCATATTTCACTTAAGATAAGTAACATACATTAGTGATAATTTTAACTTTAAATTCTTTAATTTTAAATATTACTGATCATTTATTATTATACTCCCACAAAAATGCCAAGGTCCTAAAATAGTTTTACATATACATTCATGTTTCTTTTTAAGTGAACAAGAGACTAACGAAATGATCACTTTTCATCTTTAAATACTAGGCAAAATTAAGAGACATAATCTTAATAACCATCTGAATTCAAAGAAGTAAAGCTACAATGGCAATGCATATGTGTATACATTTTCTCAGTTTATAGTTACTGAACTATATGCAGCATAACTAAATTCATAGTACATTTTTATTGATACACAAAAATACTATCCCATTATCCATATTAAAAGTGTACATTTAAAAATGAACATTAGGTTGATAAAAATTATAGATAACAAATTTTCAAAAGTACCAGGAATTATGTATGCCTCAAGTTACATGACTACTAAACTTACTTTGTAACTGTCCTCTACTTCAGCTAGTTCTAGTTTTACATTTTCAGCAATTTTCACTTGTTCTTTCCATTTCAGCTCCATTTTTGCAAGTTCATCAGCATATTTACTGCATTTTGTTTTCTCATCCTAAATGAAATAAGTAAATTATGAAAAGATTTTAAATCCATATAGAGCCAATATCTACACAAACTTAGGTATGTGCTAAATGTTGTTTCTAACACTGTTGTGACAGTACAAAAACTGAAATAACTAAGTATCGGTGTAAGATTGAATAAACCACTTCATATACAGACAATGGAATTAAAGAAAAACGTCAAGATCCATTAATTGAAAATGGCAAGCTGCAAAACCAGAATACATAGTGTAATCCTACTTTTGTTGTAAAAGTTAACACAATTTCATATGATGTCTATATAGTGTTGTATAAAAAATATAAACCAAACTCTTAATAGCTCTTTATCCCTGGGAATCAGGATCATGATGGTACTTTTTACCATCTTTATTCTTTATTTCTATAATTCTGTAAGATTTCGCAATAACCATGTGCTACTTTTGCAAAGGGAGGTAATAAAAATTATACTTAAAATGCCATTGTTTCCAGATATTGATATATAAAACCCTGACTTCCTGACAAAGACAATCTCTAGGTTGATTAGCTATACACTATAACCCAGAACATTAAAAAGAAGGAGTTACAGTCCTGGATGGTGTGGCTCAGTGGACTGAGCGCCAGCCTGCAAACCAAAGGGTCATTGGTTGATTCCTAGTCAGGGCACATGCCTGGGTTGCAGGCTAGGTCCCCAGTTAGGGGGCACATGAGAGGCAACCACACACTGATGTTTCTCCCCCTCTCTTTTCCCTCTCTTCCTCATTCTCTAAATAAATAAATAAATAAATAAATAATAAAACCTTAAAAAAAAAAAAGGTGTTACAAACATGACAAATTCATAAATTGGCCAATTTCATTCTGAATGTTTTTGTTCAAGGGGAAAGTTTTAAAACATGTTTTGAGCAAGTCAATGGAGAAAACAAAGTCTTTTCATCGAAGAATGCTGGATCAACAGACTATCCCTACTATACGTATCAAACTACATACAAAAATAAATTTAAAATGGCTAATACATCTGTATGCAAAACCTAAAACTATAAAACTTCTAGAAAACAAGTTAGGAGAAAATCTTTACAAGTTAAATTAGGTAAATGTTTTAGAACATAAAAAGCACAAAAAACAAAAAGAATAAACTGATACTCTGTACTTCATCAAAATTGAAACTTTTTCTAAAAATACCATTAAGGAAATAAAAAGGCAAGCCAAAAACTAGAAAAAAAATATTTACTACACATATATGAGACAAAGCATTTATTGCCAGAATAAAGAACACTTAAATTCAGTAAAATGAAGCAACCCAATTTTTAAAATGGCAAAGATTTGAACTCTTGCAATAACAAGGAATTAAGTACCAATCTAAGCAACAACACGCCTAAGCCTCAAAATAATTACACTGAAAGAGAACAAGAAACCAAGTACAGACCATATGATTCCACCTATAGAAACTGTACAAAAGGTAGGCTAATCCATAGTGGCAGAGAACAAGCCAACAGTTTCCCAGGGATGGGGACAGAGAAAGGGATAAGTTGTAGACAAGTACAAAAAGACTTGACATTTTAAGTTTCACAACTATATATGGCAAAAATGATCAAACTGCAGACTTTAAATGTGTGCACTTTATTGGATTTCAATTGTACTTCAACACAGTTGTAAAAAAATAAAAATGTACCTTGGGGAAGTTTTTAGTTTCAATGGAACATTCTATACTTTCAATACTAAATGAGATTTTTAATATTCATCCAGAATTGTTTTATACTTAACGGAATATAGTCTAGTCCCTTATAAACAACCACTTTGAACTCAAGGGTAAATCGTTCTAATTAACACTTCCACAGAGGGTAAGATCATCTGAAGCAACATAATATTCACTTTAAAGTCTGATTTAAAAGATATTATATTAATATTTAGAAGGAAATAACATAAAATATTTTAAGTTACTCTAGTAACCTTGGGCTGATATATGAACTTCTCCAGCTCTTAAAGTTATCCCTCTCTTCTCTACATACACAGAGAAATAGAGACAGAAAACTGTTTAATTAAACAAACAAATTACATACACAAAATACCTTTTCCCTCCTTCTTCAAATCAGGTAAAAATAAGCATCTGACCTTTGTGTTTTAATTGCTCTAGAAGTGAATGCTACCAACACAGTTGCAAAACTGAAATATTTGAATACAGTTTAAAATAATCAAAATAAGGCCCCAGCTGGTAGGGCTCAGTGGATTGAGTGCCAGCCTGCAAACCAACGGGTCACCAGCTCAATTCCCAGTCAGGGCACATGCCTGGTTTGCAGGCCAGGTTCCAAGTAGGGGGCATGTGAGAGGCAACCACTCACTGACATTTCTCTCCTTCTCCCTCCCTTTCCCTCTCTCTAAAAATAAGTAAAATAAAATCTTTTTAAATAATCAAGTAACACTGTAAAGGCAATAACCCATTTGATTAATGATCCCCTTTTCTACTTTGCAAATCCTGTCACTTTAAGATGTGGTAGAAATCTTTGCTATTATTATTAGAGTAAAAGGAGCACTTTTATGAAGTTCAAATATTTTTCATGTATCCTTATAAGAAGACAGTAATATTCAACCTCAATTAATCACTTGCCCATTATCAATAGGATATTAAAGTGCACAGAACTCTTAGGATCATGGTTTTACACTTAGGCCTACATAAAAAGTACATGAAACAACCACCTCTCAGTATCTCAACAGTTAAATGAAGTATCAGTATATGTGTATAGAAAAGAAACCCTAGGACACTCATCAATCAAAACAATACAGGTAAACTAAGCCATTACACTTGATAAATCTGTTTCTTACACGGTTGCTAGCTTACCTGCAAGAGTTGTTTACATTTATTATACTTTTCTGTTTTGTCAGCAATTTCTTTGGTCAGTTCACAGACTTGCCCTTTTGTTACAATGTCAAAATCTGTCTCTGCTGTAACAAGGCAGAAAACAAGGTTATTAAAAATTAGTTTCCCCCTTATTATTATTTTCCTGATCAGAATAACTTAAAGGTCAGTATACTGTGAAATATAGTAAAGGGAATACTGAAGGAGAAAAACATGTTTAAAAGTATCCATTCATTCATTCACTAACTAAACAAAAAATGATAAAATACTACTAAAATGGCACAAAAATTTATGTAACTGAATAGACAGGATAAGTAGGAAAGCCATAATTTGAGAAAACATTTTAAATCTTTTTTCCAGTCCTCCATTACTATTCACTAGGTCTTTATTAAGTCAATATTGTGCAACACCATGTAGGTACTATAGAGGATATACAGAAATGGAAAACAGAATCCTGTTCTGTAGCAGCTGAACCTAATTAAATATTTAATAGTATAGGAAATTTATAATACATTTAAAAAGTATAAAACATCAATTGCCCAAATATTACACAAGGAAATATACTTTTATATATCCTAGTAATTACTTTTGTTATTGCTAAATCATGAACACAGGATTAAAAAAAAAAAAAAAAAGACAAGTAAAATTCTAGAGTTAATTCAAATTTACATGCTGTTCCTATATTCATTATGTCTCTCTAATCTGTTCTATAAATTAAACTAATGAAAAATTTACCTTATCCACTAATAACTACACTGAGGAAAGTACCCTACTGATCGAAAGCAGCCAAAGAGAGAGAGAGAGATGAGACACCAAACAAGGGATTTACAAGTTATTCCTCCTAAAAGAATTAAACAATTGAAGGGCCAGAAATGTTTCAAAATTCCATTGTGGACTGTTAAATAAAAATTCAACTCCTGGCTTTTGTCCTATAGCCCAAAAGCTATACACATTTTAGCTCACAAACACCAGGTCATTTAACACTTGTGAATATTGTCATAAAGGTAAACACTAGTACACACTCACATTTCACATATTCACCACATGCATGACTTTATTTTACTTTTAGACCCTTACTTTCCCTTTGCCTCCATGCCCTCACTTATAAAGATTTCTACACACTCCCTAAAATTTTTACTCCTGGAGCACAGCAGTATAAGTATAAATACTTTTCCAAGCAGGACACTACACAAAAAGCTTGAGAGGTCTGTACCTGCAGGAGGCAGTGGCTGTATACCTGCAGCAGAGGCGGCGGCAGCTGGGTCTGTGTTTACTGAGGCGTCATTCACTTTGTGCTGGTTCCCAATTTTCTTTGTGAAGACAGTACTATTATTGGCCTATTCAAAATGTTAGCAATAAAAAGGGTGTCAAATGAATTATATTCTCTCCCTTCAGTCATTTTGCAAATAGTAATTACAAGAAATCCTGAAAGTTACAAAGCTACTATTGTCCTAAAATGCAAATAATCATATCAAGAAATTCTGAAAGTCTACAAAGCTATTGTCCTAAAATCCATTGTGTAAGACTGAAGTTACACACATCACTTTATTCACATTACAAAAAACCTTATTTTTTTTTTCTTGTCAAAACCTCAAAACACCAACCAAAACAAGCCATTCACAGAAATCTCACACATTTTCTACTACAAAGTCATAATATACTTGAAGGCCTAAAACCAAAATCCATATACATGTGGGTCATACTTAAAAGTGTAATGTTTTTTTCTGTAAAGCCCTTCCTACTTTATCTCATGCATTTCTTGCTTCTTTTGTTTCCTTTCAGAATTCAAAAGACTGAGAAAATATCATGTGTCACATAGTATAGTACAAATAAAACTGTCTTTACAGTAAATCTTGTTGGTAAAGAGAACTGTGGTATCACTTTCAACTTCAGATTTTAAACATGTTTCTTCACTTCCAAGACTCGATTACACAAGAAACCTTGTATTTAAGCACAATTTGTAGACCCACATTAAAACACACAGGCATCAAGACAGAAACATTATCTTTGATTTTATTCAATCTGCCTACCCACCCTCAAGTGCAATACAAAACAATGAACTCTTAACTACTTTAGCTTTTTTTAACTCTCCCTAATCCAGCAGATATAAATAGAAGGAAAGAACTCATCAATGACAACTGATCAATGGTGACTCCCACTGAGGACAGGTGTCACTGCCACAAAGAGGGATTCAATAATATGTATTGAATATTTAAGTGGAAAAAACATTTGTCAACTTAGAAGAAAATGGTGAAGAGGGCTCTCTTTTCTCCCTTCTGTTGCCCTTGCTTCCTTTGTTGGCTCTCCAATGAATGAAAATTCCAGATTTTAAAAAAAAAAATTATCATTACCGTATTAGACCAATGACTTGAAACCAAGCAGAGGTAAGTTATCTTAAAAAGGATGGTATTCAGAATATTGTAAATCAGATATGCAAACAAAAATAGAGATGAAAGAAATATTCCACTAATTATGATTTCAGTTATACTTACTGACTGGTCTGAAAGTTTGTTTACTTGTTTTTGGAGCCTCTGGCATTCTTTGAATTTTTCTTTGTAATGGTCTGCTGCCATCTGAAGACGAAGTTTTAGATCTTCAACTTCTCTTCTCAGTTCATGTTCCAGTGTATCAGTTTTTTCCTAAGGGAGGAATAAACAAACATTTCCTCTGAGAAAAAGATAAAAATTTTCTATCACAAGGTACTAGTAAATTAAAACTTCATTTTCACTTTTTTCTGTCTGTTTACATTTGTTTTGGAGTTTTGGCTAAAGAGCCTTATTAGTTAGCTCTCCTAATAAATCCAGCTTTACATTCTTAGGGCCAAGATTCATTAAAAACCTAGAGAAGAATAATCCACCTCCTGAGGAGCAAGTATTACTCTGTTAAATAACCATAATACCTTTTTATGCAGCTAGTTAATAAGAAATTCCAACAAAGTAATATATACCTGACATTACAAAGTTTAATTAACAATAATAGAGCAGCTTTTACTAACCATTAGGAATTTGCTTACAGCACTTTTTATTAAAGCTTACATTATTTTCAACTCAGGAAGTTTCAGTAACAAAAAAAAAAATTAATGGAAAGTTAAAATTCTGATCAGGAACCTGACGTAATTTTAACATAACTCATTCTTATGAGTTCTGATCAAAATAGAAACTCAGAATTAACCTGCTTTACCTGGTCTTTTTTCGCAGCATTTAGTTTGAGTTCAGCCAGTGCATCAGCTAACTGCTTTTTGACTTTCTCATTTTCCAAGCGTGCAGTATGCAGATCTGCCATAGTTTTATCTCTCACATTTACAGCATCACTAAGTTCTTTAGTCAGAAAAACAACTTCTTGGCGAGTTGCCTGAATCTGTTCCTCTGCTTTACGAAGTTGCTCTTTTAAAATAAATGTATCTTCCTGAAGACAGACAAATAAATGTATTTGTAATTAAAACATTCAAGTAAAAAAAAAAAACAATTTTTACTCATATTACAACAGATCCAAAATTTTAAATTAATTACTACTTTTCTACTCAGAGCTTAAAAGTATATAAATCTAGAAAAAACTTACGATGGAACTTTGTGTTAGAGTCCCCATATAACAATCCTGCACACTGGGTATCACTATGGCCACGTTACACATGGGGAAACTGAAGTACAGGAAGTCAGGCAACGCACCCAGTGTTTTAATGACCTGGCTGAACTGAGACTTGAATGAAAGCTCTAGTCCCCCAGAATCCCTCCAGCTGGAAGTACTGGACCCTCATTTTTATAATTGCCAATAAAAATAATTTCAAAAACTTCTTTGTAATGCAGAAGTTTTATTAAAAAATGTTTCTTATGATCTAACCTAAAACATAACGAATATATTAATATACCATTACATACTCTGAAAATACAGAACAGATTTAAAATTTAGCTTTAAAAAATATTGATATGCAAATAGCAAAGATGAGGCACTGAAGAAATGAAAAGTAATTAAGCACCTCTCAAGACTAAAACTTAAGAAGTTAACTTTAAAAGGTTAAAATTACCATGATAAAATTATTTCCTTTAATATTAACTACACATTATGAGCTCAATAAATCTAGTTTATCCAACTTTTCTATTTTAATCTCTGTACTAAAAATAATGTAAGCTCAGAAAAAGTATAACCCACTTTTGGTTTTTACATTGTTAGCTCCTTAGAAGGAAATGTAAATGATTATGTTATGTTGGGGTAGAAAAAAATCTTTGTAGGTATAGCATTCTTAGATCTATTATGTAAATACTGGCAGCTTTCCTATGTCAAAAGGGGGGGAAAAGAGGGAGAGCAGGGGGGTGAGTATAATAAACTCCAGTGTAAACAACCTTCCTAATCATTTAAGGAAAAACCCCAAACCAAAAGAGAAAATAGAGGAAGGCATGAACATAACTTAAAAAAAAAAAGAAACGGTTAACATGCATCCAAAAATATTACTCATTAACAATCAAATAAAAAAATTAAAACAAATACCATTCATAATTTTTCAGCCTGTTAAAGATTAAAAGACAGTACTACTCCAAGATTTGGATGGGGTTAGGATAACAAGCACATTTATGCACAGATGAACTTACATAATCTGTAAGTGTATAAGCCTTTCTCATCAGATTTTTGCAACATTCATGAACACTTTTAAAAAGCATGAGGCATTTGATATAGCAATTTTATTTTCATGAGTTTCTAAAAAAATTATCAGAGTAGGAACACAAGTCTAGCTTTACGGGAATTCAATAAAAATACTGAAAAAATACACAATTATTAAATATCTAAAAATATGAGAATTATAAACTGATATATCCTTCACACAATGAAAGTCTACGCAGCGATTACAAATAGTATATATCATACATGTTGGTATGTTAATTTTTTTAAAAAACAATTTTAAAATAACTGAAAATTTTAACACTCGACCCACCAATTGTACTTGAAGAATTTATACATGTGCCTAGATATATGTATGTTTATTGCAACATGCTTCTAATAGCTACAGATTGTACACAACTATAAACAATTCCATATTACATAGCTGTTAAATAAAAGGAGGGATACTACAGAGCTGATGTAATAAAGATTAAAGATCTGTATGTGCACTTACACTGTAAGATGCTCAGACATTCCTTAAATTTGTAATAGGAAGAAGTTTGAACTTCTTCAAAAGAAAAGGCTGGAGGAGAGAAGATTAAATATAGAAACCACCATGTATTATAGAACTGTACACCTGAAACCCATATAATTTTATTAACCAGTATCACCCCAAAAAAATTCAAGTGAAAAAAAATAAAAACCACCATTTGTATACATTTACCAGAGAAAATGTTTTACAGTCTTCAAATACATGTTGCAAAAGTACTTACCTTACTTGAGGCAGTAAGCAAGCAAGCCCTTTGCAGACTGTCCTTTTCAGCCAAACAGAATTGTAGTCTGCTGATCTCTTCTTTGAAATGAGTAATCATGTTTTCTTTGTTTCCATCTAAATTCTTTAAAGTCTGGACCTCTGACACAAGTTTGGTATTTTCTATTTCTCTATTCTTCAAATGTACCTGTAACAGAGCTTGAAAATGTCAAGAATACTCTAACTCCATAACCCAAGTCAAAGTTTAAAATACTACCACTATTTATCTCTAATCAAATATGATTAAAGAACAGGAAGACTTACTAAACAAGGAGTCAGGAGATCCAAGTTCAGTCAAGTGATTAGCTAAGCATTTTTTTTTTTTAAGTCTTATCCAAACTTGGTAAGTGGAATCTTGCCAAAGTAACACAAAACAAAAACCCATAAGGACAGGTTTTACTTCCAATTTTTGGGGTACATACATACAAACAAGATACTGTATAGAGAACACTCGGGGAGCTGGGGGTCTGAGAGTGTACTCAAATGGAAAGTTCAATGGCACTTTGATCCCAACTTCTAATGCTTTTAGAAAACCAAAGATATTAGAACAGTATAAAAGAATAAATTCCCAAAATACCTCATTCTTGCCCTTCTTTCCTGCCTGCCAAGACCTTTGCAAAGGACTTGTCATTTAGGTGTACAACCGACACACAGAAAGTCTTTGCAAAAAAATGAGTAAAAATAAGATAATATGAAGGGTAAGTAATGTAGAATTACTTTAGATAAGAAAAAACAAACGCTGAATTCACCCTACAATGTGGTTGCTAACCCTAAGCCTCTACAGAATACCAAAAGTGCTGTTCTCAGAATACACAGAAAAGAAAGGGAGGGTGAAAAGGTGGCAGCTTTAGAGAGAGGTTTATCCTCTTTCCAAAATAAGTCATCCTAGTTTCATTACACTGGTTTACTTCTCAATACTAAATAGTATGTCTTTAAGGATTCATTTTATTTATTACCGAATTAAAATGAAGACACAAAAATCCTATTCATCTTATTATCCCCACTGTTGTAAGAGAAAAACAACATGGAAAGCACTTAATTATCCAGACAAAGTCCAGGTCTTTTCCTCACAACAAAACTGAAACATTCTCACTAAAATTCATAGTAATATTCAATTAAAAATCATTACAGATGCCAAATTTTTGCTTAGTTAAAAAATGCTTTATAATTTTAAAAAACTGCATTTGAAGGTCATTTGCAAAAACATCATATAGATGATAATACAATTGCATCCATTCTTCCTCTGTTTTGTTTCCCCTTTTTACAAAATCTTATTTTAAAAAAATTCTGTGTACTTTTTCTTACAGAGTCAAATTATAAAACCACCCACCAGTGAATCTTCCAACTATTTTTCTCCCTGTCTTGAAAGTGAGACATACACACATATGCATGCTCCAACTCAGGGAAAGAGTTGTCAAATTGTCATAAGAAACAGAATGGGGTTTAACTCATGACAAGCAAAACTTCCCTGTCCGTGCTCTGCTCTAACATACCTCTACAACAAATAATATTCTAGTTTCTCAGTTAATATTGCGACTCTCAAATACTGACTATATGCAGTTACGCTTTTCTCTTTAATCAAATGAGAGTTCCCCTTTTCTAATCTAATCAAGAGATTAGATATAGCCAGATTCATCCAGATAACATTGATAACTCAGAATGTCCTTGAAATTCCTCATTTGAAACTACTAATGGGAACTGCTTAGGAGCCACTTAAGGTAATGTCTCAATTTGCATCTACATTACTGACAATTAAGATATATATTTCAAAATCTCCTAAAAAGAAAAGGAAGAAAAAAATATAAAAGGTAAAGACTTGTTATCAGTGAGACTATCCTTTTTAAAACGACAGTCCCTGAAAGTTATTCCGGAAATTAAACTCTAAAACATGACGTTCATCATTAAAATAAAGTAATGTTCTCCCTAAGGTTTGTATGTTCCTTAAGGAGGAAAAAATTGGTTATATAAATTCCGATAAACAGGTATCCTGTTACCATTAAACCTCTCTGACTTATTATACATTACCTATTAAGTATCTAAAATACCAGCAAATTAAGTTGCTGAAAATTAACTTTTATGAACTATACACAATGAAGTAGTTTTAAAATACGTCTTCAAATCCTTTGATATTCCTCTCTTCAAGACTTGGGACCTAATTCTCCTCTTCTTGAGCATCAGCTGGACCAAGTGACTTGCTGCACTGTACAACTTTGGAGACTAGCTCATTAAATGCACTGTAACTTCCCCCTTGCTCTCTTGCATAGATAGCTCACTCTTACGGAAGTTGGCTGCCATGCCTGCCATGCCTTAAGGACATTCATACAGCTACCAAAGAGGCCACACAGCAAGAAGCTGAAGGGTCTCCTGCCAGAAGTCACGTGAGTGAGCCACCTTGACAGCAGGTTTCCCAGTTCCCATCAAGCCACAAGGTGACTGCAGCCCAAGTCAACATCCTGACCTGCAACTACACGAGAGAACTTGAGCTCTAACAATTCAGCTAAGCTGCTCCCAAATTTCTGACACTAAGTTTTAGAGTAATTTCTTACAGAGCAATAGACAATAAAAATAGAAAAAATAAATTACCTTATAAAGTTCCTTCTCATCCTTTTCTGTCTTCAATTGATATTCAAGTTGCTCTCTTTCACATTGTACCTTCCTGAGTTTGTCCTTTAAACTGAGTTAAGGTAAAGTAACATTAATACAGATAAAAACCAACTCCGTTAAAACATTTTTAACATAAAAGTATCTTTTTAAAGTGTCAGAAGTACCTGTCCAATTCAGTTTCCTTTTCAATTGCTTTATTTGTCACTAACACAATATCTTCCTCAAGCTTGACAGCTTTGGATGTAGCATAATTGTATCTCCTCTTAAGTTCTTCATTGTCCATTTTCAAACTTTCAGATACTTCAGTAAGTTCCTTAGAAACAACAATAAAGTATTTTGAGAAACATAATTAGTAAGCCTAATGTACATTAAAAAAAAAAAAGTATTAAATTTTAATCCCGTTTGTCTCATCCAAAATTTATAAGCTAAGACTAAAAATGAGACCTGAAATTGTAAAACTTACATATTAATTTACATGTACTAAATTAAACAATTGTTTCTCTATATTTTTCATACATTGTTTGTTGATTTCACCAACTTCTCCACCAGAGGGCAGGAAACAAAAATAAGAAAAAAATTTTTAATCATTTTCATTTTTCACATCTCACTTTTCAATGTTACCCCAATGACAAATCAGGTTGTGATACCACCAAGGTTAGCACTCGCTTCTTTGAGCATAGATCATTAGTCCAATTGATAATTATACTAAAGCACTAATTAAGATACCTGACTAAAGCAAAGTTCCTGCCAGTGTGACCAAGGTATGAACAAACATTCAAAAAGGCTGAAACAAATGTAAAACCAGGAGTAAATTTAATAAATAAAGTATATTTCTATATAGGATATTCAACTTGAATAATTTAAAAGTATAAAATTTTAATCACATCAATTAAGACAAATAACTTATGAGAACTTGATCAAACTTTTCTGTGCCTGTTTTATAATCTGTAAACTGGAGATAATAGGGTTTTTCCCTATTTTATAAAGGAATAACCTTTATAAAATAACCTATTTTATTTTCCTATTTTGCCTAGTTTATAAAATTATGAGAACTGAATTTAGTAATGTATATGGAGGTATTCTATTATGAAAAACAACACATTAAAAGAATTGTTCAATTAAGATCAATTGTTTTTGTTAGAAACAACTTTTTAATTTCCCTCTAAATTACAACCCCAATAAAATCACCATTTTGCCAATTTAAAAGTATCAAAAGTAACAGTATTTATAAGCCACTCTGATTTTCATAAACTTGCCCAAATTTTTACCTATAGGTGGGCTATCATTTTAAGCATCTTGCTAGAATATAAAAATTGCTGTCGCATCTACATCTCATTAAAAAGTGTCACAATAATTATTAATAACATGTTGGTTTATTTTTCCTCAAAGCAAACGTCTGCCTTACTGAATTTGCAACATTAACCAAAGATTGTTATACAAAACTAAATGTTTTTGTGATTCCAACACCACAACAGAGAAAGCAAATATTTATTCTGATACAACTGTTGTCAATAATACCCAGTGATTCCTGTAAAAGCTGACACATTTTCAGTATTTGTCTTGCTGATTTATAGCGACAGCCAAAGAGGTTTCTAAGTATTTTTTCACATTTTTTATTTTTAGTTTTACAAAATGCTCTCTTGGCACTGCAGATAGGCTACAGATTTAACCCCAGGACAAAGACCAAATAAGATTACCCAGAGGCAAAATCTAGTTTCTGATTCTGTAATTGATGAAGTTCTCTGGTGGATAAACAGTATTCTAAAGGTATGCGGCAAGAACTAGAAAAAAGTCATAAGCACCTACGTGCAAGACATGAACTAACTGCTTTATCTATGAGTCAGTTAGCTCTACAGCAAGTTACAAATTAATTCTAACCCTAACTTTTGAGTCTTAAAAAATCTTTCTGGTAGCCATAAAGATACCTGATAGCTTTTCAGCATCCAAGCTTATTTTCAAAAGGCATGAAAACACTAAAGTAGGGACTATTTTCAGGTTTCTAGTTCTCATGTCTGAAGGAAAGATAAACATCTTCAATGTGGCCAAGGATTCCTTGGCATGAAAATGGCATAAAGGCCCTTAATATACATACAGAACACTAAAAATCATGCTTAAAAAAAAATTTTTTTTAAACCTACAACACAATCTTTGAAAAACACTTAAGATCTGAGGTAAACGGTACTTTGGTATTTGCAACTCATGCCAAAAGAGCATCATAATTCTAATATTAAAACAGAAAAACATACAGTTTAATCTGCTACTTATTTCATTTATTCCATGAAGAAGAACTACTGTCCATACTGCAACAGAGCGAAGTTTAAATAGAATAAAATGTAATGAAGACTACTTCTGCTGTCAAAAATCTGCCATGAGCAAATATACTTAAATTCTACCTTTAAAAGAGAATATCAATTTAAAGGATTAAATTTTTTAGAGGAGAGAAAAGGAAGGGAAGAAATATAGGTCACAAATATATCTAATGTCTTAAATTATTTCCTAAACAGACAAGTGGAATTTTAACATTGCATTTTACACACATTTTTAAAGAGACAGCGAATAAGAAAAAGTTTAGGATAGCATAATTTTACTTATGTTGCCTCATTTTATTGAAATTGAATGGTCTGTGTGTATTGTTGTAATGATCTTACATTGTTGTTATACCTGGTTATGAAACATGTTATAAACAGATCCAGGGAAAAGAGAAGCCAGAATTAAACCTATGCATATATGGTCAATAATTTATGACAAGGAAGAAAAGGATAATCTCTTCAATAAATGTTGCTGTACCAACTGTACAGCCACATTCAAACCAATGAAAATGGATCACTATCTTATACCACTAAATTCGAAATGGATTAAAGACTCAGAAAACATAGAGGGTAAGCTCCTTGACATTGGTCAGCGCAATGATTCTTTTGGATTTGACACTAAAAGCAAAAATAAACAAATGGGACTACATCAAACTAAAATGCTTCTGCACAGCAACACAAACCCAACAAAAAAAGTGTGAAAGCAACCACCAGAATGGGAGAAAATATAGGCACATCAAATATCTTATATGGGACTAATATCCAAAATTATATACACACAGTTCAGTAACAATAAAAAGTCCAATTTAAGAATGACCAGTGCCCTGACTGGGTAGCTCAGTTGGTTAGAGCGCTGTTCCAATACACCAAGGTTGCAGGTTCGATCCCTAGTCAGGGCAATACAAGAATCAACCAATGATGCATAAATAAGTGGAACAGCAAATAAGTGTTTCTCTCTCTCCCCACACCCCACCTTAAATCAATAAATACACAAATATAAAAAATTTTTTAAAATTAATTTTAAAAAATGGGCAGAGGAACTAAATAGACGTTTTTCCAACGATGACATACGAATGGCCAACATCACTAACCATCAGAAAAATGCAAATCAAAACCACAGTGAGGTATGACCTCACATTTGTTACAATGACTGTTATTAAAAAGATGATGTAGACAAAAGGGAACTCTTGTGCACGTAAAGTGGTGCAGGCACTATGGAAAACAACATGGAAATTCCTTGAAAAATTATAAATAGAACTACCTTATGATCCAGCAACCCCACTTCTAATATCCAAAGGAAAAGGATATAGAAAAGATACCTGCACTTCTGTGTTCACTGCATTATTCACAGCAGTCAAATAGAGAAACCACCTAACTGTGACCAGATGAATAAATACAGAAGGTATGGTACAATGTGTACAATTCAGCTATGAGAGAGATGGAAATCCTGCCACTTGCAACAATATGGATGGACCCTGAGAGCACTGTGCCAAGTGAAATAAGCCAAAGACAAATATTGCATGCTATAATTTTTATGTGGCATCTAAATAAAAATTCAAACTCATAGAAGCAGAGCAGAAAAGAAGTTGCCAGGAGCTGGGGGGCAGAGGTTGATAGGGGGAGGTTGGTAAAAGGGCACAAAATTGCAAGTATAAGATAAATTAAGTCTGAAGATCTAGTGTATAACATGGTGACTATAATTAATAACACAGTATTGCATAACTGAAATGTACTGAGAGTAGAACTTAAATGTCCAAAAAAAAAGATACATACGTGAGCTGATGAATGTGTTAACTAGATGGAAGAAATCCTTCCACAATGTGTATGTACATCAAATCATCATGATGTACACTTTAAATATTTTACAATTTTGTCAATTATAGCTCAATAAAGCTAAAAAAATAAAATGGAAAATATTCAATGATACAAATTTTATGAAACACTATAAAAAATGCTTCATCTTACACTTCAGTCTTAATCTATGCAAAGATTATAAGCCAATTCTAAGTATATAAATATATTTTAAAAACAAAATATTATAAATTTCCTGAAATGACTGCTTAGCAAATCAGGTACAAAATAAAAAGTAACTGGCTTTAAAAAAATTTATTGATATATACACATAAATAATAACAATCACTCCCTACATATTAAAATTATAACTCATGTTTTTTTTCCTCAAATGACAATTGGTAAAAAAGAGAATTAGAAATTCAATAACCTCATAATTTCAAAATTGGGTTTTTAGCAATTCCACATGTTTATTTTTATATATATGTAAATATATATATATATATAAATAAAAATGAAAGAAATGAGGGCAATTCCAAATATTAAGCAGTTTAAATGTCTTAAACTACAAACTACCTCTGTCCAGAACTGAGTGTCCAATGCAGTGATAAAGCTTTTGAGAAGAAAAAGCCAAAACTATAACCACAATAGAAGGTCGGCACCAGAGCCACACCATAATGAATGGATCTTTTCATGTTCTCTCACTCCTATGTATCCTATACCTGTGATAACTCCCTAATGGTGGTAATGACTCAAGGTACCCAACTCAGTCTGTGAAATTTAAGAACCAAAACAATATGCATACATTAACAGTTCATAATATGCTTTTTATGTTGTATAAACAATATACGATATATTTAGTGTCCTCAAATAGGATTTGGTGTTTTAAAAAAAAGCCCTGAGGTACATCTTATATTATCAACATTCAAGTTAAGAATATATTTTATGGAAAAACTCAATTCATAGTTTAGGCTCCAAAAAATTATAAATTAAACCAACTAAAAAATTTAACAGGGTCACAGCTGTTTTAGTCCTACCTGAAAAACTAGATTCAACATCACTGGTTCCCTAAGCCTCAGCTTTAAATCTTTCAATTTACAAACATGTATCTACCCCTCCAAAATGAAAAACAAGAATAATAAATAGACATGTAAACTGCTAATTTTTACATAAGTTTAACAAATGCAAAGTTGGGGTAAAAAAGACTAATCAATATAATGAAATATTTGACAACAGAGAAGAATAAAGTACTGACACACAGATGAACCCTGAAAACATGCTAAATGAAAGAAGCCAGTCACAAAAGGCCACATATGATTCCATTTATATGCAATTTCCAAAATACACAACCCCATAGACACAGGAATATGGATCAGTGGTTGCCTGGGACTAGGGGGTGGGGGGCAAGGGAAATGCAGAAGGTCCACAAATAGATATGATTTCTTTTGAGGGTGATAAAATGTTCTAAAATTAGGTTATGGTTGCACAATTCTGTAAATATAATAACCACTGAACTGTGCAAAGTAGTGAGCTTTATGGTTTGCAAATTACACCTCAATAGAGCTGATTTTAAAAAGATCAATTATTCCAGTTTTATTTTTTTAATAAAAATAAATAATAAATATTATAAGATCAATTAGGTTAAGGCCATATCTTTGGCCCTCAGAGGGAGAAGCATTTGGGTTGGCCAAAAAGTCCATTACGTTTTTCCGTTTGATGGCTCTAATAGTGCTTAGGTGTCTTTAACTTCATTTGAAAAACTTTGTCAGATTGTACTGTGATAGCTGTCATATCAGCATACATTTAAAAAAAACATCAAAATTGGTGAATTTCGTGAAGCTATTTTAATACTGAAAGTGGAAGAAAACATGCAACATTTTTGGTGTAATATGCTTTATTATTTCAAGAAGGTAAAAATGCAACTGAAATACACACAAAAAAGATTTTTGCCATGTATGGAGAAGGTACTGTGACTGATCAAACACGTCAAAAGTGGTAAGCGAAGTTCCTTGGTGCTACTGACATTTTGGCAAAATAATTCTTTGCTGTGGGGCTGTCTTATGCACTGGAAGATGTTTAGCAGCAGCCCTGGTCTCTACCCACTACAAGCCAATAGCGGGAGACAGCCGACGTACTCATATCCAAGTCAATAGTTATTGATGAAAATGAAAACTGTGTCTTTTATATTACCAAAAAAAAAAAAAAAAAAAAACAAAACCCAACTAAACAAACTTTTTGGCCAACACAATATGAAGAGACCTGGTATACCACAATGTTTCTTGGTGCAACTGACATTCTGGTATAGCACAGAATGTTATGCTATACCAGAGTACTGGCTGGAATCAGGACGCCCACCATATTTCAGGTGTTCTCAATCGCACAGGCTAAGTACCTTCTGTAATTGGCCTTTTTCATGAGTCACCTTCTATCTTACCTCCACCCCTTTGGCTTATAATAAAGAAAAGGATGATGGCATTCCACTTTGGAAACTGCCAAATCCAGTTTCAAATAAATGTTTAAAGAAATAGAGAGAAAAGAGGAATAAGTATACAAAAATAGCAAGTGAGTTACAGCAACTGAATAAAAAATTTAGCTGAATGCCCTAACAGTCAAGACAGGCACAGCATATATAATGATGAGATTTTATTATATTTTAATAGTTAAGATACCTGCTTTAAAAGTTCAAATAAAAAAGTGGTTCTCTAACCAAATAGAATATCCTGCTCCTACTGAAGAATACTCCAACTTCAGGATTCCAAGTGTTCCCCAGGTGTATAATTGTCAAAGTAACTGCATATCTTCCACTAAAAGTTAATGCTAATACACACAGAAGAGCACACATTTATAAGGAGATTTACAATTGTACACTTTGTTTACTCTCTAACTCCAAAGAGCAATCCCAAACAGAATAAGGCAAGAAAAATCTTTTCAGAATTTAAATGCTGCTTGATAGCATCTCTGCAGAGGTATGCAACATATAACCACTACACTGGAGTATTAAAAGTGTTGAGAATCACTGCACTAATGGTTCTAGTAACAATTATTAACTACTCTAGGCCTTGTTAAAGAATATTGGAACAGACCCCATCCTTAGGGAACAATAGGTCAATCCTGTTAATAGACATAAGTACAATATATCTGATTAGTTTTAAGTGAAACTGTAGTACGTATAATCACAATCTGTGTGAGTTTGTCAAAACTAGTAAATTATTTTTCTTGAGAAAATATTAAACAAATAATGACCAGGTTATAGCTTTCTTCTTCCATTTTTTTTTTCTAGCCACTAACTAAAATCCATTTGTGTCTCTAATGACACCACACTGTTTTATACTTACACCTTTTTCTTAGCTCAAAAAAATGCACCAATATTAATTAGATGTTTTTAAAATAATTTCTAGAATTTCTCACATCAAGAATTTCAAAATTTTGTCTAATACAATATCTCATTTCACAGAATTCTGCTTTTTGGAACAGTAATTTAACTACTTTATTCTATTTTCCCTTATTCAGTGTTTATCATTCCTAATTATATTTCCAATCCCTCCCCTCAAAATCAATCAAATATTCTACATTTAGATGTTAAGCACATAGAAATAGTTTTCAGGTGCTACATTATCAAGCCTGGTACCAAAAATCCAAAATTTTAATTATTCACAACATAAAAGAAGCTGTGGCAGAAGGTTGACAGAAACTGTCCTGTTTCTGTATAAATATCTGTCTGACTACTGTATTTTTTTTCAACACAGGGTTTTCACTCACTTGAACTGGTTCAATTCTTAGAAAAGTAGGTTTCAGACAATATACTGTTATCAACTATCAGTTACGTACGACACAACTAACCTTTCGCTCTGCTTGGAGTTGGTCACATCTTTCTTTTTCATGATTAAGTTCTTTTTCCATTCTTTCAACTTGTTCTCGAAGCTGTGTTGTTTCTTTTTCCAAAACGGCCATTACCTTTAACAGTTCTTCTTTTTCTTTCATGGTTTTCTCAATTTTCAACTGTAAAATAAAAAATTCAAATTTTAAAAAATGTTTTATTGTATTTTTACATTACCATTTATCACCCCCCCATGTTATAAACTGATTTCCATTTCAAAAAAAATAGTAAAGAAGTTCACAGGAAGAATTTTTGAATATACTTTATACCAATCAACCGTGTTTAGCATTCAGGTAGAAAAGTTCATGAATCATAAATTTAGACATTCTTTTGGTTGGGCAAAAAAGCAAAAAATTAAAAGAATTAAAAATTAGAAGAAAAAAAGAAATTTTATTTTGAAAAATGATTAGTATGAAATTTCATTATCAGTAATAAAAATAAGGCATAAAGTTTCATAAATGACTTAATTCTGGGCCTTTCTTATCTTGAGTAATAATCAAGAAGAAAATGTGCATCTCTTCTTGAATGCAAATTTATGAAAAACTGTTGAATCTATTACGAACTTCCTTATGTTATATAAAGCCTTCACCTATGGGGTTACTATTAAAAGCTTCGGTTCTTTAAAGAACTAAGGAATACATTTCTATATATAATGGCCTCTATTTGGCTAAACTAAAACAAACTTTATAAGTAAAAGCAAATTTTAGTACTAAAATACAGATTGTAACAATATATTAATATAATTGATTATTATGGGAACACTTATAGTTACTCAGTTCAGGAAAACTTAAACTCCAGTATTCTAAAAAATTACTAAATTAAGGGACCTAAAATTGTAGTAAATAAAATGGTTTCTATTTCTCTCACAATCAGAAATCACTGATGTTAATGGGGGAAGACTGTACGTTCAGATGAAAAACTTCACAAAGGAGGCATTACTAAAATAAAATGTTTTCCCACAGTAACAGTACACCCCGAGTCAGTTTTCCAGGGTCATGGAAACAAACTGATTAAACTGTAAAATAGCTTTTATGAAAGTTGAATGGTGAAAAATTTTTAGAATGACCCTTCTACCTTATTCATCACACCAAATTAAAATAACAGGAATAAATGTCCTCAAAAGAGAAAACTTTATTCATTGAACTTCTTTCATACTTTACCTATTTTTTTAAAAGAAACTATTTTTGGCTCTAAACTTTCTGACAGCTTAAAAATATAGATACATCTTGATATAGTGTAAAAGAAACATTATAAAAGAACCACTTTTTCCTAGTAATTCATTTAATTGGCATTTACTAGCTGAAGAGTTTACTGAACCTTAAGTAGACATTTTTAAAAGAAATTCAAATTAGATAAAACTGTATAAAAGTCAAACTTCTGCCCTCAATCTTTCAAGCATATAGCAGTTAAAATTTTTACAATGAACACCCATACACCCATCACCTAAATTCATTAATAATTTGCCATATTTATTTTATCTCCCTTCATATTCTGTAATTAATTTATTTATGTAAGGGGGAGGCAGGGGGAATAAACCATTTGACACAAAACTGCAGACACTTCACCCCTAAGTACTCAGAGCAAGCATCTCCAAATAAAAAGTTTCCTATTCAACCACTACCATTATAATCGCTAAGAAAATGAATAATTTTATAATATCCAATATATAGTCCATAGTTAAATATCTCCTACTATACCTAAAATCAATTTTTAAAGAATCCAGGATCCAGTCAAGATTCACACATTGAAGAATTGTTTCACTAATCACTTTAAATATCAACAGTACCCTAGATAATGCCTCATGTTTGTACTAATTTTGTGCAGTTTTAGATAAACTCATTAAAGATTTTGATGAATATGGAAAAAAATTATTTTATACTGACCCAAGGTATGTTTTTACTGATTTGAGAGGGGGAGAGAAAGAGGAACATCGATGGGTGGCCTCCCACAGGTGTCCTGACCAGGGACAGAACCCACAACCTAGGTAAATGCCCTGACAGGGGACTGAACCCACAGCGCTTTAGTGCACAGAGCGACACTTCAACCAACTGCACCATCCAGCCAGGGCAATGAACATGGAAACTTAACTTGTCCAAAAATTGGTCAGAATATAAAAACATCTTTATCTAAAAAATATGACCCTGAGAGACAGCAATTTACATTTTCTTTATAAAGCAGGAAGAAGTGAAATGAACTGAATAATGTCCCAGTTTACTTAGAGTGCGCAAGAGAGATGTGGATGCCAAAATGCTCCCCACCCCCCCCTTTTTTTTTGTTTGCAGCCCTGAAATCAGGGTGGTCTAACAAGTATTCAAAAAACTGCAATATAAACTAACCGCATTCTTCTTAAGAGCTGAGCTCATTTCAGCATCTTTGACTAGCATTCAAATACCAGGCTAAAAACCTTGATCATCGAGCCCTTGTCAACACAAATGTTTTAGTCACCCTATAAAAGTTACATTTCTTTATTTAAGATAAGAGAAGAATTTCTGGAGGGGGGAAGGGAAGATATGGAAGAATTCACAACAAATGACTGGTTCCTTCAAGCCTTCTTAGTTCAACTGCCTTATTAAAGCATTTTATCTATAACCTCCTGTCTTTTTTTTCTCTAATCTGCTTCTGAAGGTAAATAAGATAAAATTAAAGGCATAAAATGTTTATGTATAAAAATTCATCTGACTATAAAGAAAAAGCAATGACCTGTCATAGACTAAATGTGAATATAAATTAACCAAAAATATATGCTGAACCAATTAAAGAAGCAGTTTTTCACAGAAACATAAATGTAACACTCTTGTAATGAGGTTTAGGATAAAGATATTGAGAAACATCTTGAAATAAGAATGTTGTTTAATTTTCTTCTTCAGTAGCTATGAAAAATTAAGACATAAGGCATTATTAGATCATATGTACAGTAAATTTCTATTGGAGTCAAAGAAAGGACTCCAAAGTATTCGACTAAAAAAATAGTAAAAAGTGTTACATCTTTCTTTTTTAATTGTGGTTAATCCAAGCTTATTCATTTGATCAGATGACAAGGAAAAAAAAGTCATTCTAAAAATATTCAACCTCAACTTAGAGACTGGGATGCTTCCCTGATGCCTCACTGCCACAGTTGAGATAGAGCATGCTCATAGTACAGTAAAACAAAGTTCACATCCAATGACAGATTTATTGCTTTACACTACTTTCCCTCCAGCTTCACCCTCCAAATCTGTACTATTCTACAATTAATGGATTAGGCCACCACCAAAGAACAGTTAAGGCGAGGGAACATTAGGAAAGCTTTACGTCTAAATTCTCTTAATTATTGAGTGGCTACTATGCACAAAATACTCACAGGCCCTAGGGATAGTCCTTGCCACAATGAACTCAACAGAATTGTGACAGATTTTTACAGTATTTCAAATATAACACATTAAGTTAATTATTTTAGTTAAAAAGCATTTCCTTTTTAGGTTATACTCTTGCATAACCTGAATTCTTAAAATGCTAATGAACCCATGTTCTCATATGCTCTGTTCTTAAAATTATAAATCACTAGCTCATTGCTGGTACCAACCTCAAGAAGGCCAGCTTTTGTGGTCACCACCAGCATATCAGAATTTCCTTCATCTTCCATAGTAAGCAACTCTTCAACTGGAGAAGAAGCTCGAAACTGGAAAGGTGTACTTGCTCCACGAATTTCACCCTTATGGGTAACGTAACAGAACTGATAAAATTCTCCATCATCATTTGGAAGGTAATAGCCTAAGAGGAAGTTAACAAACAAAAACGATTAAACTTCCTTTCATAAAATGTTATTTTTATTTAACAATACTTACCATCTCCTCGCATTCCTGACCCTATTCTAGGCATTTAGGGTATGTCTTTCCTATCTTTCATAAATTATCAAAACTAAACTCTCCTTCCCTCCTGTAACATGCCTGTTTTCTCATCTTAGGTCTAAGCTTACACCCCCAGAATATCCTTTCCACAAATCTTCACTCAGAGTAAAACTAACTCATCTGAGAGTGTCAAGTATGTAGTTTTCAATGAGAGGAAGGCTGGAGGAGGAGCAAGAGAAGATCCAGTATGAAAATCTAGGAGGATTATCAGGGGTGAGAATATGCCATTTAAAGAAATCTTCCCACCCTGGCTGGTGTGGCTCAGTGGACTGAGTGCCAGCCTGTGAGCCAAAAGGTCACAGTTCAATTCCCAGTCAGGGCACATCCCTGGGTTGTAGGCCAGGTCCCCAGTTGGGGCCGTGCAGGAGCTCCAATGTCTTGATCTGATCAATGTCTCTCTCCCTCCCTTCCCCTCTCTCTAAATATAAGTAAATAAAGTCTTAAAAAAACCAAGAAAGAAATCTTCCTTCAATTCATCACATGTAAAAGGGAGCTATTAACAAAAGGAATATGCTACACATATGAACTATGTAATGACAATAAAGAGAATGAGGCCTAAGGATGCTGTAGAACAAAAGCAAGCTTTGGAACTACACAGATTTATTCTGGATTCCAGCTCTACCACTATTATTATTAACTTAACCTCTCGGAGCCCCAGAGTTTCTTACCTGTAAAAGAGACACAAAGACATCTATCTCAGTTTTCAAGTATCTGCAGGTAGTGTATTTATACCACCCAGCCCACTACGTGACAAATAATGTATGTTCAATATTTGTTCCTCCTTTCTTTAACTCAATTGTTATCTTTTCTTTTAAATGTTACTGGATTATACTAGCACAAAATTAATCTACCTCCTCTCTAAAACTCTCATGGTATTTTTTACATTAAAAAAAAAAAGGCTTCACAGAATACCTTGTACTACTACTCATTATACATGTTTTATATCCTATACCAAGACCTCAGGAATATCAAAGGCAGATATATAATATAAAAATTCTGGAACCCCTCCCAGAATGACTTGTAAAAAGGAGGTATTAAATGATTGTGAAATGAACATACAAAAATGAATATATTCACCTCATCTTGGATATTACTATCTACCCAGAAATCGTCTTTCATATCTTAAAATTTTCAGTCTCATTATTATATCTATTTTACTTGTTTTCATTCTTTAAAAAATAGCTGGACTTTCTCTTTGGAAACAAGGGGGAGGGGCAGAAAAATACAAGTTAAACCTAGAACATCATCTGGTGCTTCAAAGTAAGAACTGGGGGAGAAGAGGAATGTCAAAAAATACAGAAGCCCACTTGATGAAGTTCCCTGTGACCAAAGAAAGCTAGAACAATTTGAGCAACAAAAATGTGACAGTATCAGACTTTATTCCATAGACTAACATTCATGAGTCGATGGAGAAGGGGACTTTTCCTAATTCCAACTAATAAATATACAAAGAACCAGAATATAAGAGCATCATTAGGCAGACACAACAACAAATGTTTTAAGTAAGATCCAGTGATGGATCCTAAAATTGGTGGGTAAAAGTTTGAAGAGAACAAGATGTTTCCTTAGTCTCAAAGTAGCTCCTCCATAGCAGTCATTAATTACAAAGGGAAAAATACTAACTCTACAGTGGAAAAACTCAGTAGACACCACCACCTTAACCAAGTGATCAAGATTAGTATCACCAGTAATAAGATATATGGACATCACATATTCCCTGATACAATACACTGAGAAGGGTACATTAGTTCTCTGGTATTCTTCCTAAAAATGTATAACCTCAGTGCAACCGTGACAAAGCATCAGACAAACCCAAAATGAGAAACAGGCTACCAAATAAATAGATACATAAATACCTAAAAACCATACTATTCAAAACTGTAAAGGTCATGAAAGACAAGAGCAGAATGAGGAACTGTCACAGACTGGGGGAGACTAAGAAGATAATGACAACTAAATGTAATGTGGGATTTTGGATTAAATCCAGGAACAGAGAAAAACACTAATAGAAACATTTGTGAAATTTGAATGAGGTTTTTGTACTTTAGTCAAAAGTATTCTACCAATGTTCAATTCCTGATTTTTTAAATAAATGTGCTATGGTTATGCAAGATGTTAAAATTAAAAGAAGCTGGTTGAAGAGTATAGGTTAATTCTGTATACTATTTTTGCAGCTTTACATCTAAAATTATTTCAAAATATTAAGTTTTTAAAAAAGTAGTACAGAAGAATATCTGAAGAATACTTCAAAAAGAAGAAGATACTTTTTGAAGTTTTTAAGAACCCCACCCTCCTAAACATCTAGTACTAAAACTATTAATCCATGTCTCAGTAACTTTGCAAATGGCCACTAGATTTATTTTTGAAGTTTAAATAGAAAACAAAAATATAGTCTAGTCAGCTCCGGTATCATGACAATAGAAATTCTACAAACTATTCACGGTCTAATTTTTAAAAACTCACAAAAATACTAAAAAATGTTGTTCAAATACCATTTGAGAAACAAGATGTAGTTATATTCAGAGCTGCAATTTAAAGCTATCTAGAAAGGCCCTGCCAGTGTGGCTCAGCTAGTCATCCCGTAAACCAAAAGGTCATGGGTTCGATTCCTGGTCAGGGCAGATGCCTAGGTTATGGGTTCAGGTCCCTCACTGGGGCACATATGAGAGGCAACCAATAAATGTTTCTCTCTTCCCACGTTCCTCTCTCTAGAAGCAATGAGTATGTCCTTGGGAGAGGATTAAAAAAATAATAATATGGCTATCTAGAAAAGGCTCCTGTCAGATTAGTAACATTGAAAATAAAATAGGAAAAAGTAAAAACCAAGCTGAGTCAAATTTTATGACATGAATCATCAAATTATAATAAAAAATAAAAGTTTCTTTAAGAAAACAATTACGTTTATGTATTTTAGTTGTTTTGAGTTTTGCATTTCAGGATTCCCATGACTCATCCATAAAGTGAACAAAGTGATTTGGAGTGTACTTAAAAATCCATTCTAGCTCCAATATTTTATGGATAAGTTTTTCATGACTTTATCCTGCCTTTTCTTTATAACAAGTTCTAGGCAGATAGCTTTCAATTCTGAATATCAAAGTAAAAATTAATAAGACGAATTTTCAGAAACTTGTAAAACTTACTGCACACTTATGCTTAGCTCCCATGAAAATGCTTTTAAAGTAGAAACAGAAATAAACTGGATGTTTTTCTTTTTTTTTCTTTATTGCTTTTAAACTTTTTGCTAGGTAACTAATAAATCGTAAGTCAATATAACACATTCAATAAGTTACTTATTACAATGCTAATTATATTTAAAATAACTTTTAAGAGCAAGTATCATAATAGTAAAATCAGTTCTAATATACTCATTTTAAAAAAAGACTATGAATTAAAAGATAAAACTACACATATAATTTGTAACACTTATTAATCCTTAAAATATGAGAATCTAAATCTTTGCCTATATTACAGTACAAATTTTATCCTCTGAATATTGGTTTCTTGACACAGTACAAAAGGAAATGATATGCTGGCTTCACGTGATTACATTGCCAACTGATGTTCACACCAACACATACAGTACAAACCTCAGAATAAAAAGTTTAAAAAACATAAACCACCAAAATACAAAACACTGACAATACCAAATGCTGGCAAAGATGCAGAACAACAAGAACTTTTGTTCATTGCTGGCACAGCCACTCTGGAAAACAATTTGATGGTTTCTTACAAAACTACACATACTCTTAACATGTGATCCATCAATGGTGTTCCTTGGTATTTACCCAAATGAGTTGAAGTCTTACATCCGTCCACACAAAAACCTGTGCATAAATGCTTGTAGCAGCTTTACAACTACAAAAACTAGGAAACCAAGATGTCCTTTAATAGACAAACTGATGAACAAACTTACATTCATGCAATGGAATATTACTGGTATCCTTTGCAACTCTGTGTGCTTTACATGTATTAAAATTATAATGAAACAGCATCCATTACCATCGCCAGACCAAAAAGGATGTCTGACAAAAGCCAAATTAAGAATGTGCTTTCATATGACACAAAATCAGTACAATTATAATACAAAATCACTCTGCAACAAATTCTGTGATAGGTGTCTAAAAGTATTTTTAAAATTTGAACACAGTGCCAAACTAAGAATCAGTTTTACATTACTCGCTTTTATCTACTTTATAGGCAAATTTCCCTATGAAATTAATATAACTACTCTATAAATCCTGTTAATCATCTTTGTGGTGTTCATGTAGAATACAGGGGTAGGCAAAAGTAGGTTTACAGTTGTATGAAAAAGTTTATTCTTGTATTATTTTCCATACGAACAACTGGAGATTTACTCTTGCCCACCCCTGTATTTTTCTCAGCTCTAATTTGTTATATTATTCTAATATAAGCAATAGCATTGCTTTCTCATTTGGAAAAACACCGTCAAAAGTAAAGAGCTGATGAGAAATCAACTCTCTTCAATGGAGGTTAACAAGGAAAAAGGCTTTGTAGTGTCTACATAGAATATCACAAAGCTAAATATTTACATTCTTATGACTTTTGCTAAACAAAAACCCTAATTAATTCAACTGTGGTATGCCGGATATACCTAAGTAGATAATTACAAGGGGTACAACATTTTTAATGGCAATAAAATACCTAACTTCTTTAGGTTCTGCAGTTTTCAATTCTTACCTTGAAATGCTAATACACAATTGACTGTTGATCCTTCTACATAATGTTCAGGCATAGGGGACCACAAAAATGTGTAATAATCACGAGCAGTACTCCACCCAACCTAAAGGAAAAAAACATGGAGATGATTAGTAACTAGTTTAATATTAGAGTGATATCTTACAACGTATTGTTTTTTACTGCATCCTGAAGACATGGGTTAACAGGTTTAAAAATCACTGTATTTTAACAAGCATGTCAAATTTATAATTTTTTATTAAGCTATAACCTAATGCTATAAAAATTTATATAAATTGAACAGTAGTTTCTACCACGTTTTAAAATGCAATGTGATATCCAATTACTCAAGGAAAATCTTCATATCAATATAAAAACTTATGTTTTACTTAACATTTGAATTCACTAAACATGATTTTTAAAACTTCATTTTATCCCTCAAATATCAGTGTCATATTAGATCCTCTCCCCTTAAATCCACTAACTTCACTAATCTTTCATCTTTTTTTTAAGTCTTGCCTGCAGCCAACTGGTCAATTTTGTAAAAAGGCCTTTATTACAAAGATGATTATATGTACAAATAGACCATCTACATCCCACGTATCTCTAAAACATTTTCAACTTACAACATGTATACATTATATATCTCAGTCCGTACTTTCCACATGGACTGTGTTATATATGGATTAGAGATGTTTAAAACAGGTACTAGGTATCTATTTGCCAGTAGTATTCCAAGAAGTAAGTAATCCACCAAATTATATTTTATAATTCTGACTGACCTAGGATAAGAGATTACAGACTATTGAAGTTGGAAGAATTCTAGCAATCCTTAGTCTCTAAAAGAAGTGTTTTAAAATTGTAGGTGACAACCAGTAGGAAGAAGTGATATCAATTTAGTGGTTCGTTACTTTTTTTTAAATTATAACAATTACTTCTTAAATTATATAGAATTAAGAAAAGTATCCAAGTGTGTGACAGCTAAGTATTGCCTCATGAAAATTTGTCTGAAGTGTATTTGCATGCAACTTTGCTAGGTTGAGTCACATGATTTATTTCTGCATCAGGGTCAAAAACACTTGAAAGACACTATAGTATTCATCTCTTTACAGATAAGCAAACTTGAGGAATCTATGATGTTTTGGGTTGGCCAAAAAATCCGTTTAGTTTGTTTCGTAAAATAAAAGACACACTTTGCATTTTCACCAAAAACTTTACTGATTTGGATATTTTGAACATGTCGGCTATCTCCTGCATGGTAGAACGTTGATTGTTCTCAATTAATGTCTCAATTTGATTGCGGTCAACTTCAACAGGTCTACCCGACTGTGAGCAAAAATCCAGCAAGAAATCTCCAGCACAACACATGGCTTACCGCTTTTGACACGTTTGATCTGTGTGTTCACCATACCCTGTACAAATCCTTTTTTCTTTTGCGTTTCAGTTGTGTATTTACCTTTCTTGACATAATAAAGCATATTTCACCAAAAACGTTGTGTATTTTCTTCCATCTTCAATATTAAAATTGCTGCACAAAAATTCGCCAATTTTTTTAAATGCATACTGATGACAGCTGTCACAATACAATCTAACAAAATTTTTTTTTAGTAAAGTTAAAGACAATTAAGCACTACTAGAGCCACTGTATGGAAAAAAACCTAAAAGACTTTTTGGCCAACCCAATATGTAAGAAAGGAACCAAGACAATGAATGTTTCACATAGTCCAGGGAATTACAATAGTATTAGTGTTGTTCTTCTGTTACTAATGCAATAGCAAACTAAGAGCAAAAAAGTAAATTAAGCAAGGGTGACATGGAAGCGGAAAAAATAACCTTTAAAGAGAATTAACATTTTAGAAAAACATACTGGATGAAAAGTATTGAGCAGAAAAGAAATTCTAAGAGTGCAAAGACAATCAGAAGGATGTGAAGGTCACCTAGTAAAAATATTAATAAATGCTAGAGAAACTTTCAGAAAAAGAAAAGTAAACATTAGGATGAAGAGAGCGCACGAAGGTCACTTTCAAGAGACGGAGATCCAGGGGACAATGATTTCAAGGGAGCGGTAAAGGGAGACGGATACATGACTAAATAGAAAAAACACTGAAAATACATAGGCTCGTTATATAGAGATAAATATAAAAAATATATACATCAAACTTAACTACAGGTGTTTCTGGGGATGGTGGGGGGGTACAACAGATAAAGGCAATCAATTTCTGTTATATACATTGTAATTTCAAAAATCATTATCAGAGAAGTAAAGGTCCTTTCTTTTTAAAGGAAAAAAACTGCAAAAATGCCTACATCTAGAGGATGCAATGCTGATTCTCAGACAGAAATATCATAAATGGAATAAATGTCCCACCATGAAATAAAATGTTAGAGACACTGTATCAATAAAAAACTGGTTATAATCTTAAGTGAAAAATTCAAGACATAAAAAGGGTCATTCAATACTATTCTGACTACTTTCAAAATACGTGCATTAGAAGACTGAAAAGTCTTCAACTAAAAAATATCGGAAGGAAATAGTTAAAACATTAACAGTGCTAAACACTGCTATTAGGTAGGGATATATGGGGCTGCTGGTCATCTTAACTATATCTTTTATATTTTGTTTAAAGTTTTCTAAAATCATAATTACCTTTACAACAGAACATTTTTTTAAAACAGAAAATGAGAATGGGCTGAGAGACCAAGGCAGGAAACCAAAGCAGCAGAAGGAAGAGGAGTATGAAAAGAAAAGGAGAAAAAAGGAAGAGGAAAACAAAAGCTTGAAACAAGACATTCGAGCATAAAATCATTGCTCAGGTTCACTTTCCACACCAGGAAATTAAATATTTTTGTTTGCGTTTTGTTTTGCTTTATCTGGTTGGCAGTAGACACAGTGAGAACAAAACCTTACTGGAGGTTATGTGTGCCTATGTGACTTTGGGAACCACGGAATTTACTTTGCACTCCCAATTTCCTAACCAGAGTAAGTATTTCTGAAACATGAGAACTCTAAGACTTTTTTAAAGCTTAAAAAAAATCGTAGGGACCTTTAGTGTAATGCAAATTATTTTAATTGTAAGGTAATTTAACTTATACTAAGCATAAACCTAAATAAGTTTCCTTATGCTTATAAACCTATACAATTAAGACCAAATCATTCATAAACACAAACAAAACTTAAATACAGTGTGATATATTTTACTCCAACTAATGTTAGATTTAGTAATAAAGATATGGCATCAGGTATAGTTCTAAATTGTTTCCTGTTTGGGGTTTTTTTAAAAGATTTTATTTACTTTTTTTAGAGAGAAGGAAAGGAAGGGAGAGAAACACTGATCAGTTGCTTCTCGCACACTCCCAACCAAGAGGCTGACCCGCAACACAGTCATGTGCCCTGACTGGGAATTAAACCAGGGACCTTTTGATTTGCAGACCGGCACTGAGCCCACTGAGCCACACCAGCAAGGGCTTTTCCTGTATTTTCACGTCAATTCTATCATTCCTTAAAATGCACACTGAACTTATTAGGCACTCTGTTGCTGACTTGGGATAAACAGATCTCTCACTTAACCAAACTGCCAGAGAACAATTCTTGAATGTCAGTTGATATGAGGTTCAAATCTCAGCTCCAAAGTTTAATAACCTTGAGTAAGTCACTTCACTCTGGAACTTAGTTTCCAGATCTGTAAAATGGGGACTATAATAATCTGATGAAAGATCTTTGCAAAGAATAAAGTAATAAAAATATTATGTTTATTCCAGTTAAAATTAAAACTAGTCAATACTGTAGAAGAGGGAACTAACTAACTAACTAACTAAATAAAACCTCAACTCATTCTCTATCCCTTATCTGACTTCACTCATTTTCCTATCCAACTGGATTTCATGGTCAGTTACTCACTTCAGCAATAAACCCAAAACCACCCTATACCTGTTGTCCTCCTGACACCCCTTCCTATTCACCACTCACCTCCAATTGCCAGTCTGAATGATACTCACTTTGAAATTTTTCGCTCACAATTCTGGTCGCTGAACCTCTCTAGAGAAAGTCATAAAACTTCTGCTGAGCAATCTCCTGATTAATTTACTCCAATTCCCTATGATAGTCTTCCACAGCAAAAAGACCAAATCTCCATACTCAACCCCTCCCCAACACTTGGTTCATGATCTTTCTCCTTCTTATTGCATACACTTAAGTCATGCATGAGTCCCAAACTCAATTCATTCAACTAACTGCTGACAAATTCTGTGATTGCTACTTATGGATTATTACCTACCACTGATTCTTTTTTACTTTGGCCCTTATCATCTCACTTAGAAAATTAGGATAATCTAAATATTCTCTGTGCCTCTTATTCTAAAAGCAACTTCTCTTACTCAGCACTGCAAGATTCAAGTTCACCTCTAAACTCTAAAACTACTCTTTGCTTAAAAACTAGTTATTCCTGCCCTGGCCAGGTGGCTCAGTTGGTTGGAGCCTTCACCCATACACAGAAAGGTGGTAGGTTTGATTCCCCGTCATGGCATGTATGGGAGGCAACCAATGTTTCTCTCTTCCCCCACCCCCCACCTTCCTCCCTCTCTCTAAAATCAATAAACATATCCTCAAATGAGGACTTGAAAAAAAAACACACTAATTCCTCAGCCAAATATTAAGGCAATCCAAAACATGATCCAAACCAACCTTTGTCATTCCTCTTCTGAAAATGGTATCCCAGGCAAGTCCAATTCCTTAACACTTTTTCCAGCATATGACACACTTCCATTCCTTCCCCCATAGAGTTACCATCTGGGCACGTTCTCCCTGCCTACCTATCAGTATCATATCAAAATCACTATGGAGGGCAAACTGTAGTACACATGAAGTTTTAAAACATGCAATGGCAAAAACATGACACCTCCACTTCCAGGAACCTACCCTATGAAATAAGTGGTCAAACAAAATAAAGATACTGACATCTTTATTAAGCACTGTTTTGAATAGTAAAGTTTAGAAATGTTTCCAATGAATCCCATATATCAATATCATGTGTATACACTTTACAATATACAATGTATGTGCATAGTTATTATTTAATTATATCCAGCTATATGCTAATATGTTAACAATGGTTACTGCTAGGTAATAGCATTAAAATATGATTTATTTTCTTCCTTGAGTTTTCACGTATACTCTGAAATTTTTACTCCACGCTTGAACTTACTGAGTTTTAAAGAATTATCCAGGCAAAAAAGATGGAAAGGGTATTCTGCACAATTTTATTCATTTATTTATGTATTGAGTTACTGCTTAGAAAAAAGTTACAGTCCTTAAAGTGCACAAGAGATAACAGTTTAGCATTGTGGGGGGAGGGGGGGAGGGGGCGAGATGGGGAGGGGAGGAGGCAGCAATGAACCTATAGATCAAGTTACATAAAGAAGACCCATATGGGCACACTAAGTTATTTGATCTTGACATCACTGTATAGATAGAGGTAATAATTTCAAACAAGAGGAAGATATGTTCATATTTTCATCTTCTTTTAACCTTTTTTAAAAATCCTCACTCAAGGATATCTTTTCATTGATTTGAGAGAGGGAAACACTGATCAGCTGCTTCCCGAGCGCACTCCTCCCAGGGACCAATCCCACAACCTAGGTATGTGCCCTAACCAGGAATCAAACCCACAATCTTTTGGTGTACAGGACGACACTCCAACCAACTGAGCAACCCGGCCAGGGCTTCATCTTATATGTTATAGTTTATATAGAGCAGTTTGAAGAGCAGATGGGGGCACAAAAAATAAAAGCAGGGAAAACAGGTGATCCATTGCCATAGCTTTGAAAAGAGATGAGGGTACGAACGAGAGCAGTGACATTAAAGATGCAGAAACACATACATGGTAGACAGAACTGGTGTCTGGCTGGAATTAAAGGGAAGTCATAAGCTTTTAGTTTAGGCCACAGACCATTAACCGAAAATGGAAAAAGTAAGTAGTCTGAAGGAAAAAGATCAAGGTTCACCTTCTTGAAACACAATTTATCACACATCAGCCTCATACCTACATCTACAAATATTTCCCACCTTCAGTAAGGAAAATGTCTATAAACTATTTGGCCTAACACTGACAGTCCTTCTTAGACAGAATGAAGCTTAATTTCAACCTTATCTCACCCCCGATCCCTAAATCAAGCTTGTGCTCTAGTTACATTAACTCCTTCTCATGAACATTCTTACTTCTGTGCCTTTAATTATATATTCCATTTTCCTGCCAGGAATGACCTTCACTCAATCTCATTTCCTTGCTCATTTCTCCTCATTGTTTTCAGGTAAGAAATGGAGAAAATGGAAAAAGACTCAAAAAAAAATTTTCGTAAGACCTTGAGTGAAGCTGAACCTTTTGTTCACAGAAAAGAAAGCATGGAGTCAAGTTATCAGTATTTGTTGTACACTATCCCACTGTTAAATACAAAATGTTCACATTTACAAATGTAAATGTTTTACATTTGACATTTATAAAAATGACCCTTAATGTAGAGTGAAGACAGAGCTAATATAAGCTACTGATCTACCTGCTTAAAAGAAAATAAGGAGTACCCAGACAGAAGAAATATGCAGAAAGTTTTTCTTACCTTGAATATACCAACCCAATCTTTTGGATGTGGATGGATATATGGAGTTAAGGTGTAATGACATTCCAGGTGTGCATTAGGAAGATAGCTCTTGGCCACATTTTGAAAGATGACATGGGCAAAATTGGAAGTCTGTGAGACTTCTTGAAAGGATGTCATCATGAATCTGAAACAAGTAAATCATACAAGTTGAATGATACCTAACTAAAAAAAACTTTCATCTTTAGAAAATGTGACATTAAGAGGCCGGCGGTCAAAAAAATTAGTGTCGGTCACGTGCGTTGAATATCACACCCCCTTACAAAACATGTTATAACCAAACCCAAGGCTTAACATGAGTCACGTATCAATACAAACTTGCAGCTAATCATGACCTTGAACCGATGCACCCAATATATGTAACAGTAATTAAGAAAAGAGTCTGTATCTCTCAGATTAGCCTAGATCTCCACAGGGTTAAATGCAAATTACATGGATATTTACATGTCATAATTTTTCAAAAGGTATATACTTTTTAATACTGGAACTCCCGCTTAAAAATCTAATTAAATATAAAAACAGACAAATTGAGAAATAAATTTCCAATATGGCTCAGAAAGTTACATGGGAGTTAAAAAGCTTTTAAGCCAGTATTAAAAACGATCAACTCTCCTGAAAAGCCTAGCCCTTTGCTTCTTTTGCAACCAAGAGATTCTATGTTTGACCCTTGAACTTCACTATATTCGTCCCTAATCTGTTCTGTCCCACGCCTCTCCTAGGTTGTTGGTTCCTGTAACAGATGCTGATCTCTCAGTGCTTATATTCCTCACCGATGTTTGTGATCCCCTGGACCACTGTTTCTCAGCCCTGGCTACACATCGCAATTATTAAGAGTCAAAAAAAAAAAAAAAAAAAGACAATGACTTTATGGAAGTGAGACCTGGACGTGGGCATGAGTGTATGATTTCATTTTTCTTTTAATGTCTGCAAGTAATCTAAACCCTGTATGTGGTCAGGACAAAGAACCCCTACTTAGACTCTGATCCAACCCAACCACCTCATCTCTCACTCATTACCACCGATGCCTAGATCCAACCTGTCTTTTGGTGCATGCTTCTTCAGATCTCTCAAACCATGTAAAATCCCAGCTGTTCTACTTAAAAGAGCCCAGCCTATTTGTTCCTCTCTATCCATACTGATTCTATCCTTTCATTCTGGGTTCAATGATCCTACCTTGACTTCTGATATTCATGGGTTTTTTTTTTTTTCCTTTTCCATTATATTTTTAGTCAGTAACTAATTAAAAATAAATGTATAAATTTTTTACATGAAATACATACTGTAGAAATCTATTATGGATTCTGTAAATGCTCACTGGCTTAGTGAACACCAAGCACTGGATAGCAGATGAATGGTTAAAGTAGATTGTAAAAATCTGCAATATCCAAATTTTGTTTATGCTCCACTTCTGAGGAAAAGTATACAAATAAGGATTTACTTCAAAGAGCTATCCATACACTGTGTCACAGACTCAGTTCAATCACTGAGTCTACACTATGCATAAGAAACCATGGCACTAACCCTGCAGCACTTGCTTCTAAAGTCATAAAAACAGAACTATCTATAATAATGGGGAAAACTGGAGCAAGGCTTTTTTTGCTAACCAAGTTAATCTAATTTGCTTTACAAATCAATGAAGTTTCTACAGAGCAAGCACAGCAGTAACTCTACTTGTATTTTAACAATTATTAAGTCTTTATTGCTAGGAATATCTAAGACAATATGCTTTTACAACTGTTCCTTTTACTGATCTGTCTGAAATACTGAGGAAAAATTTTTTAAATATTTTATATATTTATTTTTAGAGAGAGGGGAAGGGAGGGAGACAGAAGAGGGAGTATAACATCAATGTGTGGTTGCCTCTTGAGCACCCCCAACTAGGAACCTGGCCAGCAACCCTGCCATGTGCCCTGACTGGGAATCGAACCAGCGACCCTTTGGTTCGCAGGCCAGTGCTCAATCTACTGAGCCACACCAGCCAGGGCAGGCAAATTTTTAAGGTTCTGAAATAACGAGCACTTTAGATAATATTCACTTTTCTTTGTGTGTCTTCTCTGCTTCTGTTATGACCAAAGCACTGTTTTACTAAAATAATGTATTAGATACCCCATAAAGAAACTGTCAATAGTGAATCTGGAAGCCACTGTGTTAGAATACCAGGTTGTCTGTCTGTTAAGACTCTCCCCACCTGAGAGGTTTGCCTGAATTCAGCAACAGGGAGTGCATTCAATAGCAATCCTCTCCTACCCCTGCACTAAAAAAAGGCTTTATTAACAGCAACACATTGCACAGAAACACTTAACTATTAATATTCTCCAGCTGGTAACCCAAAATCTTCCAGGAAAAAAAAAAAAGTAGCACTAATAAACACCGGGGACTCTGCCTAAAATAACTGAAGAGTTCTATTACTTTGTCTTTTTGAATTGTCTGAGCTACTCTGGGCTCAGGGGGATGTCAGGATGCTTCAAAAAAAAAAAAAAGTCACTAATGATAATCTCTTTTCAGGTCAGTGGTTTCATAAAGACCTATCCAGTTTCCAGTTTTGAAAAAACGTTCCCTACGGACTATAAGATACCAAAAGAGAAACTATAGCTAAATCAGTCAAACAAACTTTTAGTAGATACAACTACTTAAACTGAAGAAAGTGAATCAGTAATATTTTTCTATGAGGAGAGCGAATATTTAAGTTTCCCTGAGGAAGATATTCAGTAAGGAGAAAATATTAGAACGAGTTTCCATATTTTTAATAAAAAGCAGTTTAAGAATAAAACATTTTTTCTTAAAACTTAATTTCCTAAAGTAAACTATCAACAGAGTTGCAATTACTTGCTATAAAACAAGGCAGTGAAGTTTAAACTTTTGTTTAACCTCAATTACAATAGTGACTTAAAAATCCATAATCCAACCTTATACTTTTACTTCACAGTTTTGAGGATATAAAATAGAGCATGAATGCAGGTATACATACATCTTGTATGTATTTATCTGTGTGTCCATGCATATAAAGCATCAAAATGGACTCAAAAAAGTACCCACCATACAGTTAATAGTCTTTATTAATGAAAGATGGCTTTGAAAAAAGAACTTTTAACTAAATTGACTGAATTTTACCAGTATATATAAATGTATTATTTTCATTGTTTTAAATAAGCACATTAACATCAAATTTCATTGTAAACCCTCTCCTCAAAATTCAAGTTTTTGATACAAACTCTCAGATTTGAAATATATTCATGATGCCTATAAATCTGAACAGTATTAATAAAATAATTTGTGATCATCCTGTCAACCTTCATTAATCCCTCTGGCACTCCAACCTTTAAAAATATTTCAACGTGATTAGAACTACAGAAATTTTATGTCATTTCACTCTTATTGTTACCTTACTTTTTGAAATTAAATTACACTATCTTCTAGCCATAAAAAAGTTAACATGGATAAATATAATCTGAATTAATTACAACAAGAATCAACATATTTTAAATAGTAAAAATGAAATTTCCAATTCCCACAATTCTTCTGTTTCACTCCTTACACAGGTAACGGAGTAAAAATATAGACAAGCTTATAAAAATGTTGAAATTCACTGAGAATATCAAGGTAGCAAGATGATTCACAGGTAGATTGATACACTACACATGCACACACACGCAGACACACATACCACTCAGTGATGAAGTAATGTGCAAAGTCACTGCATCACCTTGTGGTAATGCCTGGGAACTGTAGTTTTATTAACTGTGAAAAAGAACAAACTGCATCTCAACTAGAGAGGTAATATATACACAAGGGGAAGCGGTAACAGCTTTACCATACCAAATGTTTCTTCCCATTCTCTAAAGTACCCTGAAGAAACACGTACATTAAGATGCAAGCCAAGGCTAAGTAAAAATTTTTCAGAAACTAAAGGACCATTTAACTGGGAAACAAAGTCTGAAATGCATATACATGCTGCCTGCAGTGCCCTTTCACATGTTTCCTAAATATTTCCTGGAGTTCTAATATCTTTAAAGTTCCCTTTTACGTGTTATGTTGTAAACTTTATACTATAATGGCTTTGGTCTAAAAGCCAACTTTGTTACTTTGGGAATTCATCCATTTTTAAGGAAAAGGATTAATAATATGCAGCAGGCACTCTGTTAACTTAAATAAATTTGGATGGAAAAGGGCACTTCAATATCATCCTTCTTCCTCTTGGAACTTTTACAAGCCCCAAACAGAACTTACTATTCATCTACTGACCAGTCCAAACAGTGTAAGCCTTGATCAAATTAGACTATACTAAAAACTTGTATGCATTAAACATACAGAATCAAACTAAGTTTTTAATTTAAGTAAATATTTTACATAATTTGCCAGTTCTAACAATTAGAATTCAAGAGGAAATAAGGTAATTTTGTTCTGTGTTACAGTATCATTGTGGTGATTTTTTTTTTTTTAAAGTCCTTACCAGTTAAACATGCTCAACTAATTATAAATGAATATCCTGATGTCTTGGATTTGATTTTAAAACTCAAGGGGAAAAAATGTGTTAGAGGGGATAATAAAACAAGATTAGCAAAAAGTGGCTTGTTTTTTCCTACTTTGTTCTCCTCTTGTGCATGTTTGAAAATTTCCATAATAAAAGTTAGTAAAACCACAGCAAATAAAGATTAGTAATGAAAACACATTACACGTAGTGGTTGACAAACTTAACAAATGTTTTTTAAAATCTTCAGTTAAAAATATATGAACTTTTCACCATGGCTGGTATGGCTCAGTGGATTGAGCACCGACCTGTGAACCAGAGAGTCATCAGTTTGATTCCCAGTCAGGGCACACGCCTGGGTTAGGGGCATGAACGAGGCAACCAGTCAATGTATCTCATATATTGATGCTTCTCTTTCTGTCTCTTTCTCCCTCCCTTCCCATCTCTCTGAAAATAAATAAAATCTAAATATATATAAAGTTTTATAATTATCTCCAAACTTCAGTCCTAAATGGCACACAAATACCTGAAGGACAAAATAACATTCAAATAATTTCCAATTATTGATTCTGTAACTCAAACAAAGACTAGCAGCTGGTTTACACACCAGAAAAATATTATTAGCAAACTTTCTGGGAGGCAGAAGATACCAATCTGTTAATCTGCACTCTTACAGGAGTCTATTTCCAGAACTCTTTATAGATAAGGTCTCTGCTCAAGTGTCACTCACACCACTTTTTATTTTTTAGATTGTTTTAAAAGTTGGTTTCCAGCCCTGGCTGGTGTGGCTCAGTGGACTGAGCAGCAGCCTGCGAACCAAAAGGTCCCCAGTTTGATTACCAGTCAGGGCACATACCTAGGTTGCAAGCCAGGTTCCCAGTTGGAGGCCTGCAGGAGGCAACCAAGTGACAGCTCTCACAGGGATGTTTCTCTCCCATTCTTTCTCCCTTCCTTCCCCCTGAAATATATATCTGAAAATATATAAAAAAGTCTCTTAAAAAAAAGGTTTCTAAAAAGCTATGATCTGGGCCCATAGATGTTAGAAGGGAATTTTTTTCTTCTATTAAATGTTTATACGGGGCAAAATAAACTTTAAAGAGCCATAAATTCATAGACACAAAATTTTAATTTGTAGTATCCAAACTGCAAAAGAATACAACCCAGTTAAACTTCACCTGAGACAATTCCCCCAAAGTACAGAAAAGCATCGTTAGGATTTTTTCGTAATTACTTAACATCAGCAAAAAGGTTGAAATTTAAAATTCCAAAATACCGCTTATTTTGCTAAGGAAAAAGTATTTACCGATTAATTCTACACAAATGGCTGCAGCCATAATTGCAAACAGAAGTGTGCAATTTAAGAAAATGGTAACTAGAAAACAAAAACTACAATAAAATAATCTTTGACATCACTAAAAGAGAAAAACTCCCCCCCAAAAAAATTTTTAACCCAGCAATAAGTCTTTCCTATTATCAGTAATCCTTTAAGAAATCAATTCCACCCGTACTAAGAACAAAACAAAGGCCTGGCCTCAGCCTTTCTCTACACCTGAACAGCGTTTTGAGGGCAATTAACCCATTCTTATTTTAACAGGTTAATCAAATAATCTCTTTAAATGCTTGGAATTGAGCCCCAAAATTATAATTAGAAATCGTTTGCGCACAGTTTATAGAAATTTTGCAATTAGGGAAATGCAGAGTTGTAAAATTAAGATTTAGCCCTGGCTGGTGTGGCTCGGTGGATGGAGCGCTGGCCTGCAAGGGCGACCAGTTCAGTTCCCAGTCAGGGCACATGCCTGGGTTGCTGGCCAGGTCCCCAGATGGGGGCTCACAAGAGGCAACCACACGTTGATGTTTCTCTCCCGCCCTTTCCCTCCTTCTAAAAATAAATAAAATAAAATCCTCAAAAAAAAGAAAAAAGAAAAGTTAAGATTTATTTTTCCCATCTAAATCCCTGACTTAACAGTAATTCTTAACTACTTAGTGAAATCTAAAACCTTATATACGTAGAAAGTCAAATACCAGTGTTTTCAAACAAAACTACTATCAATAGGGTAATAAATGTTGATCAACACACACACCCACATCTCTGTAACAATGATTTTCCGAGGCGAGGAACGCCTCGTCGGGACTTGTCAGCACACTGCGGCCCTGCGGGGTGTCGGGTGGAGGAGGAGCGGGAAAGGAGCGTTGTGAAATCAAGAAAAGTTGCCTAAGCAAAGAAATAAGTGACTCTCCCGGAAGATCTGTTAAGATCCCTGGCAACCCTCAGCGTCAGGGGCCACTTACAAACAGACGGAGAAAAACGTTATCTAATTTCGCACCCCAGAGGAGGGAGCCCAGCCACCAAACTCCGCCCGCGGCCACTAACGTGGGCGGCGCAGGGAGTCTCCGCCTCCCGCTCCACGGGCGACTCAAACCAAAACACTTGGGTTTCACTCCGCACAAGCAAACCCGAACGTCCTTTCCGGACTCGACCTAGATGTTTTTCCAAACTTACTACGCAGGCAGCACATACTTTGCCCTCAAACGACTGACCCGACAGTTCAGCCTCAGACAAGTCGGTTTGTTCTTTGAGGGTCTGGCGCGTCACTCGCCCCCCGCCCAAGAACCCACGCCCCACACGCCTCCCCCAAATTGCGAAGGCCTATCTCGGCCTCCCCGCTGTGTGGGGCGGCCACCCGTTGCCTTTTTCCAACTCCACAGCTAACCTAATTCGCCCACGCCCCTATCACAATCGCAGTCCTGGAGAAAAGGCTGTCCTCCACCGGAAAGTGTCGTCTTTAGGCTGCATCGTCACCACGGAGACTATTCCCGAGACCGGCCGGGCCCCTAGACCGTACGAGCTGAAGGGCGTCTCCCGAAACCCCGAAGAGTTCCAGTGGGAGTCCGCCCGGCACAGGGCACTAGGACAGGACGGGGAAAGCGCTTACCCAGTGAGGGGCTCGGACAGACGGGGAGCCTTACACGGGCTTCAGAGCTTCATCCGCCATCAACCACCTAACCTCTTCCGCCACAACCGCCTGCCTCCAGCGACCGGCTACACCTCCCCTTGGAGCGCAAAGCCGGCGTTGCGTCACTTCCGCCCACGGGTCCACCCCTTCCGCCGCCGCGGGTTGAGGTTGGGAGGTCCGCCGCTGACACTGCGCCTTACTAGATTCCGGGCTTCCAGAGCAATTCGTGTTCTGCGGCCTGCCGGCTCACTCCAACGAGTCAAAGCCGGCCTTTTCTCTCCGCCTGGATACTACTCCTCTTTCTTCGCCTTGTCATTCTCGCTCTGAAACCTAGTCGCAACCAAACGGGGTCCCTATGGATTTGCATGTTTGACTTTTTAAATTATTACTTTACCGTAAAGTTGAGTATATTGCCGGTTAAATGGAACAGATAGGTCAGCCTCATATGGACTATTACCATGTCATTGCGTGGATCTTACAAATGTAAGCGAATCTTTTCGTTTTATAGATCAGAATGTAGAGAACCACAAAGTGAAGAAGTGAACCCGGGGCTAGGGCTGCAACCCCTCACCCCGAGGCTGTGTCCCAACTCCGGGTCCCGTCCTGTTCGTATTTACGAGGTCTAGTTCTCTAAAACCAAGGTGTCTCCTAGGAGGTGTTCAGTTCCAATGCTCTACGATTCTATTTCCTCTTGCTCCAGCAGTGTCCTCTTTCTACCCGCATTTCTATGAGTTGTTAACTGCTTTTATTACCTGTTGTGTGTGTGTGTGAATTTTGTCCTCTATTCTCTGTTCAATTATAATTTCTAAAATCATTTCACTAGTATAGTATATTTTACCTTCCTATAGTAGGCATTCACTTTGAATCCTCACTCCACTGAAGCAAGTGTATTCCGTTCTATTTATCATATTCTTGGGTTGCCATAAAACCCTAATAAAATTTGCAACATCACCAAGGAAGAAAATGTAAATTAGATTATATTAAACGTTTAAGCACCTTCTAAGTACAGAACTACAAAATCCTCTTTCATATACTTTCATCTTCACTTCCACATAATTAAGATTACAATACCTTCAATAATAATAGATTCTCAATATTTGATGACTGATTTGTTTCCTATTAATTGAAATCTTTGAACTTCGTCTTCTCTGTATATCATACTTGGTCATAGAATTTCAGAAGAACGTTTATAGATCATTTAGCCCCAACCTCCTTATTTTACAGGTGAATAAGACAATGTAATGATATCAATAATCCCTGGCATTACTGGTACTACTTTCTACTGGTGGAAATACTTGTCCCTTAAATGTAAATACAGCAATGAACTTTATAAGCACAATTTTTCAGAGGTGTCTTTCTTTGTATTTTCTAATTATCACCAATTTTCTGTTAATGAAACCAGAAAAAAACAATATGCTTAATAAAAGCAGTGTTTGGAAAATATCTTTATGCAGGTATTTTTTTCTTTATTTTGTTATTTTTAATAATTTCTTGAATTTTTAGGCTTTATTTTCGCCCATGAGGTTATTTATTTAGGAATTTTAACTTGCTTTAATCCTAGTAATAATGATCCTTTGAATGTTTAGACAAAGTTTCTCCCAGCAAGATAAATATATACTGTTTCAATATTTAGTTGAATGTTTAAAAATTAGCTGCTCATATATATAGCAGTGTACTACGGCTTTAAGACATATGGATCCACAATCCCTTATATGAAAGTTTGGGCCAGATTGGTTTCAGGAATCTGAATTTTTCAGACTTTACAAAAGTATACTTTATGTTACATGACATCCCACAAGGCAGCACTCCATAATCAAGTTAATTTTTTTTTCAGGAAATATTATGAATATCCCACTATTACATAGGACAAATAGAGCACATAGTCTTACTTCGGTTCAGATCAGGTTTTCCCACTTGGCCACCACAGGTTCAGGTCACGTTTTATTGACAAATGAGTTCAGGTCAGGAGAGGTTTTGCCACCAAATGTTAAAAAAAATTTTTTTTCAAAGGTTTTTGGATTTCAAAATAGTGAATAAGAAATCACAGATCTGTTCAAAGAATTATTGCAAAGTAAATCTCTCAGCATCCCATGATATTTCTGGAGCAATGACAATTCCAAGTAGTTTTTAGGCAGCTGTCCTAACCTAACATATACCACTTACCCAGTGATTTGATTGGGAAAATATCTGAAAGACACTGTTGCTCTACTAGAACTTACGATAGCTAAGGGAAGAACATAAATGAGCCCACAAAAATTTAGGTAACTAAAGTATAAAATATAGTATAAAATAAAAATAATAAAGTATGAAATAAGGTATTTGGAGATAGGTAAAGTCAGTATAGACTTGTGTAAGCAGTACACTTTTCTTGAAGGAGGTAAGCCTAGACTATTAAAGTTAGGGTTTTGATGAAGAAATAAAGGACTTCAAGTCCAGGTGTAAGAGCTTGGCAGAGGAGTCAAGGAGAAGATTGTTAAAAAAATAATAATTCCCATCTGTGGAGTATACAGTGCTTTCCAGGCACTATGTTAGATACTTAGGTTGTCTCCCCTCCTCACACCCACCCCATAAGGTATTATTCCCATTTTGTAAGGCTCAGAAAAGTTAAATCACTTGCCCATTGTTAAAAAAAAAAATTAAACCAAGAAATTTGGAAATCTAATTGGTTTTATTAAGTAATTCATGAATTGAGCAGCATCTCATCTACCAAGTAGAATGGAAAGTTTTTATAGGCAGAAAATGGTGGAACTAGGAAATTAAGAGTGGACTATTTCAGGCAAGGGCAACTTCCCATAGTGGAAGGTAGGGGGTCCCATCAGACAGATTACCTCACTAGCATGGATCAGAAAATTTCAGACTAGTTGGTTTAAAGTTCCACCTGTGGAAGAGTCTCAAACCACAATTAGGTTAGGTGTTAAATCTAGGCCTGGCATCATGGGCTTTTCGCATAAGTGATGTCATTTTGAACCTGTGGTTTTTCTATATAACACCGTGATCACAAAAAGTATAAACCAAATTTGAACCCAAATCATCTATGACTCCCAAAGATTATGCATTTTCTACCATGACATGTTGCTTCTTGATAAAGGCTTTTCAAAGCCATTTACTGTGTGCTCTGGGTTATGCTAGGTGCTCTGGAGAAAACAAAGAATAAATCATGGATTTCTCACTGAAGCCGCTTTAAATGTAGTTAAGATATTACAACATGGTATAGTGAAGTGAGTTTGTATAAAATGGACCCTGAGAAGTAAAATGGAAAGAAGGATTGACACAGAATAATTAACTTTGGAATTAGCAAGACGTTGTTAAAGAAACTGGACTCTAAGCTTGAAAGATAAACAGGATTTGAAAATGTAAAGAAGGGGCTTATGTACAAAGAATATGTAAAAGGGCACAAATGGAACAATTAGGTGGTACAACATGGATTGAAAATTAGAAAAAAATATGTTCAAATAGGTATATTATAGAAATATTACAGATTTTCAAAGCAGGCAAAATAAGCTGTTCTTGTCTTTTAGAACAGTGATTTTTCTTAGAGTTTGTATGAAAGATTCCCTTTGCTAGAAATTACTCTTTTCTTTAAAAATAATACATCTATAAATGTTTTAAAAAGAGTTTTTTAAAGATAAGATTTGCATAATTGTAGGTTTTGGATACATAAGAGGTTTCAATACACTCTAAAGTACGGTTTTCTTTTACCCTGCGTTAGAAGATGGCTTAACATGCTCCTTGCTCCTTATTGTTCCCCCATCATTATTCTCCCAGATGTTTGTAAAAAACTGCTTCATCGAGGTGCAAGCCAAACAGCTATAACCTCTTTCTTCCTGTTGCTGTCATCTGCTCATCGCCAAGTCACTCTACCTCATTTATTGAAGGCTGTCAGCTCGTGCCCAACCTTCCTCTCCATTTCAAGTCCTTCAGTGTCTACTCGGATGAGACTGAAGTTAAAAGGCCAAAGATCTGGCCTTTCCATTTTTTTGAATCCCTCACCTCCAATAATCTCCTCCACTCCACTTCAGATACTTATTTCTATGATCATACCTTGTCATCACCTGCAACTGATTCACCTGCAAAATCGAGCATTCTTCTCTTTGACAACAATACCCTATTCTTCTAACTTGCTTATCAAATATGTCTACTGTAATTATTTTTCAAATTCATTAGGATCTTTAATCCACTAAATTTTCCTCTTCTAACACTTCCTTCATTTTCTAACTCAGAATCCATGGACTATCATTTCATTAACATTATTTCCAATACTGTAAGTTGCCTTGATTTTTTTTATCTTGCAAATTAAATACAGTCCTATAACAAATGTGTTATAGACACTGTGGTCATCACACACTCTGTCACTAAGGGTGATGTCTGGGAGTAATACTGTGCAAAAAATTTGATGTTAAAATTTGAGTGTCTTGGGAAGTTTCTTGCACTATCAAAGAGAGAAACTAGGTAATTTATGATATTAAGTACCCAAACCTGCAGAGGTTTATATTTTAGTAATACCTTTGCCCCACCTGGCTCCTAACAGTGTGTTCTTTGTTCATTGTGCAATCGAGAGGTCACTGGAATGTAAATATTCTCTAACCTCTCTTCCTTACCTTACTGAGAAGAGCAATCGCCAGCACAGCACTTTGAATTCTTAAGGTATTTAACATTGACAAGATCTTTTCCTCTCTGTTTCTCATCATATAACCTTCATTTTTTGAGTCACTTGCATACCAATAGCTTTTTAAAATTAATAAGTTATTTAAAGAAAATGTTACTAAGATACCGCTCTAAAGTTTTAATTTTAACAAAGGTGGAATCACAGTTTGGGGCTGAAACATGTTCTATTCCCACAGAGCTCATCTCTCCACCCTCTCAGGATCGCTACCAAGCCCTCCATCTCCACAGGATCTTTCCCATGGCTTTTTCAACATGTTCTAGACAATTTTTAAAAATGTCCCTCAGTCCATGGTCCCTTTCAGCCTTTTGTCTTCACCTTCACAAACTCCTCACTACTAAAAATAATTGTCTATATTCCGCTAGGTCAATTCCTGTCCTTCATTACCGCACTTCATTCTGGTTACTGCCCCCATCACACCAAAACAGGCT